TTCAATTGTTGGCTCGGAAGCTCCACCTTGACCATTTTCATCACGAGATGGACTACATGCGCTTCTTGATCAACTTACTTTACGCTATACTTGGGTTGCGTTAACTGCTGAGTTTTATTGAAAACAAATGTGGATCATGTCGAAAGCAGAAAGCAAGCACCGTCAAAGGCTACCGGTCGAATGCCTTGATTTTACGCAGCAAACTTTTTCCTCCAGGTTGTGCCATAACTATACACCACCTCGTGTGTGATGGGCATCAAGCACTTTATCGCGCGCCACGATGCACCCAGCATTTTTTACGGGTCGGTTAACGGAACAAATTTGCCTGTTTAAGAACTAAGACCACATGGCTCAAACCGTCTTTGCACATAAAGGTATAGCCTGGAAGTTTAACCCACCCAGTGTAACACACCATGCAAGGTGGTTCTTGTGAAAATCACAACCGTAGTCCTTCACGATATACTAGGCAGTAGGTGGGTTACTGAAAAAGTGTTAGAAACAACCTTCTGCTTGGTTGAGCAGGCCTTGAATACAAGACCGATCACTCCGTTTAGTACCGATTCGCGTGATTTAGAAGCGTGAACCCCGATCAATTTTTGCTTGGGCAAAAGGCGGTATGTTCTCCTTCGCTCTGGTCTCGTTGGCTACGAGAAAATGTCCCTTTACTTAAAAAGCGTGCAAAGTGCAACACTCAATCAAACGTTGTTCTCAGAAGAGGTGGGGTGGTCTCTTATGGTTGATTGAACCCGATAGCCCTCGATATTATTACTTTCTTGCTCGCATCGTTAAGCTTAGCTATGATAAAGACAGATGCGCACGTTTCAGCCTCATTAAAACTGCTACCAGCGAACTTACCCGACTGGCTGTTAAACTCACCCCAGTTCTTTCGTCTTTGGGGCCGAGGATATTCTCACTCAAGCATGACAGTCTAAATGCATATAAAGCCAAGCGCATAAAACCATTTGGCCAAGCAATCTAAGGCAGTAGGCGATATACTAGGCAGTAGGCGGGTAACTGAAGAAGTGTTAGAAACAACCTTCTGCTTGGTTGAGCAGGCCTTGAATACAAGATCGATCACTCCGGTAAGTACCGATTCGCGTGATCAAGCAAGATTGCCCTACTCCCCGTTCTGGGGTCCTGCTGGTATCCTTCGTTCGACTTGCCGCATATGAAGTTAGTTTATTCCAAGTTTGATACTAAACACTTGATTTTGCTGGACGCCGGCATACTTTAGTTCAATTGTTGGCTCGGAAGCTCCACCTTGACCATTTTCATCACGAGATGGACTACATGCGCTTCTTGATCAACTTACTTTACGCTATACTTGGGTTGCGTTAACTGCTGAGTTTTATTGAAAACAAATGTGGATCATGTCGAAAGCAGAAAGCAAGCACCGTCAAAGGCTACCGGTCGAATGCCTTGATTTTACGCAGCAAACTTTTTCCTCCAGGTTGTGCCATAACTATACACCACCTCGTGTGTGATGGGCATCAAGCACTTTATCGCGCGCCACGATGCACCCAGCATTTTTTACGGGTCGGTTAACGGAACAAATTTGCCTGTTTAAGAACTAAGACCACATGGCTCAAACCGTCTTTGCACATAAAGGTATAGCCTGGAAGTTTAACCCACCCAGTGTAACACACCATGCAAGGTGGTTCTTGTGAAAATCACAACCGTAGTCCTTCACGATATACTAGGCAGTAGGTGGGTTACTGAAAAAGTGTTAGAAACAACCTTCTGCTTGGTTGAGCAGGCCTTGAATACAAGACCGATCACTCCGTTTAGTACCGATTCGCGTGATTTAGAAGCGTGAACCCCGATCAATTTTTGCTTGGGCAAAAGGCGGTATGTTCTCCTTCGCTCTGGTCTCGTTGGCTACGAGAAAATGTCCCTTTACTTAAAAAGCGTGCAAAGTGCAACACTCAATCAAACGTTGTTCTCAGAAGAGGTGGGGTGGTCTCTTATGGTTGATTGAACCCGATAGCCCTCGATATTATTACTTTCTTGCTCGCATCGTTAAGCTTAGCTATGATAAAGACAGATGCGCACGTTTCAGCCTCATTAAAACTGCTACCAGCGAACTTACCCGACTGGCTGTTAAACTCACCCCAGTTCTTTCGTCTTTGGGGCCGAGGATATTCTCACTCAAGCATGACAGTCTAAATGCATATAAAGCCAAGCGCATAAAACCATTTGGCCAAGCAATCTAAGGCAGTAGGCGATATACTAGGCAGTAGGCGGGTAACTGAAGAAGTGTTAGAAACAACCTTCTGCTTGGTTGAGCAGGCCTTGAATACAAGATCGATCACTCCGGTAAGTACCGATTCGCGTGATCAAGAAGAGTTAACACCAATCACTTTTAGTGTGAGCAATACGCCGTATGTTCTCCTTCGCTCTGTTCTCATTGGCTACGAGAATATGTCCATTTACATAAAAAGCGTACAAAGTGCAACACCCAATCAAACGTTGTTCTCAGAACGGGTGGTCTCGTCTGATTGATTGAACACGATAGCCCTCGAGGTTATTACCCTCTTGCTCGCATCGTTAAGTCTAGCTACGATAAATAAAGTTGCGCAGGTTTCAGCATCATTAAAACAACTACCAGCGAACTTACCCGACTGACTGTTAAGCTCACCCCAGTTCTTTCGTCTTTGGGGACGAGGATGTTCTCGCTCAAGCATGACAGTATAAATGCATATAAAGACAAGCGCATAAGACCAGATGGCCAAGCGAGCCAAGACAAATGCTAAGCATAGGGTGGACCGGCTCAGCGTAGGTGCCAGCCCTCTACCTACCAATGTCAACCGTTTTTTCTCTCTGACTCGTTTCAGACTTGATTGAGTCTGACCTCCAAAAAAGAGCAATTTGTCTCAAGGACAAAAACTAGTGTTTTGAAAGGTGGCTTTAAGTTTTACGCTAACAAGTTTGAAAGTTTTGAACATTTTAAGTTGCTCCATTCCAAATTGTCCTTCAAACAGAGTTTTTTGCCGAGAAATAATTACATATTGTTATTTTAATGTTTCTTTGGATTCTTTTAGGTTTTTGAGATATTGAGATTGGAGTGAGCATAAATTTATATCCTCGTAACTGTTCATGATTGATGCCCTGCTCCTCTGCCTTGAGCCTTGACCCGATTTTGTTTTTCTCTCGGTCCATCATCATGGGTGACTTTTTTTAATGACACAGTGTCTGTAAACCGTGTTTTTTATGTTAAAAACATTATATTTTGACAATTTGTAACGTCAATCATTTTTTCAAATTAATTTAAAATTTTTTTACTAACTAGTCAGGTTTGATGTTTTAACTAGTCAGCTTTAACTTTCGTATATATTTTTTGGAAAATAAATTTGTTTGTTTTCTTAGGTCATTCATGCTGACAGTGACAACTGTAGTTAAATTTTTTTTAATGTTCTTGAATAATGCAAGATAACGAACCCTGTCAATTTTCTCACGAACTCTCACGTATGTTTCTTTTTGATAAAGAATCATGTTGGTATCATGGTATGTACTTTGTTTTCTTTTCAAGTTTAATGACACTCTATGTTTTGTCAGCCAAATCTGCATTGGTTTCAGGTCAAATTTTGAACCCTAATTTAACAATAAAACTGTTCGTTACTATGATTGATGTCATATGTACAAAGGATCTCATTTATTGGCTCCATTGTTGCTTAACTCAGTTATGAATTGTTAAAGTTGTTGGTTGTCAACTTTCGTAAACAGACTATCTGTTTTTCTGTCTCGTTTCAAGATGAAGTTCTGTAGCAGGCGACGGTAAGTTTTAATGCTTCACCGTTTGGATTGTGTTAAAGTAAGTTTTGAAGTTTTGAAAAATCTTTTTCATTCTGATCCCATAAGATGTGGATTCGTGTGATTTTCTTGCCACTAACGCGTATAATTGGGTACCGCTTGACATAGTACCGCGTATAAATGGGATCGAGTGATATATCCCGAAAAAAGCTAGTGTCGAGAAACAATATTTTCAAGTTTTTGCTTTTATGGCCAGGCACTAATCACCAATTGAGAAAAAAAAATACATTTTAGCCAGTTTAAATATTAGACAGCTCCTGATACATAGAGCATTTTTGTTTCTCTCAATTGAATTTTTTGCAAAAATGTAATTGCTGCGGTCAAATCATTTGGTGTCTTTTCAGCAGTTTATTCTGTATGTTTTAAAATAGAATTTGACTCAGATCAATTTATATAAAATTAAAAAATTAAAACCTTTCGAAACTAGCTTATCAGAACCTATGAGCATTCATCTGACCGGGAGTTTTGATTGTTGGGTCGAATCGCTTTTGGAGCCAAGAGTAAAGCCTGCTCACAGGTGTTTTTGATTAGTTTCCAGCGAGCTCTAGCTTGCAGAAGAAAGCACTGATCGGGATAGTTTAATCCCTTTCTTCCATTCTACTTCCTTCACTTTTTTGCTCGCTCTTATGTTAAATACAAGTTGGTATGTTGGTATGAGTGTACAGGTTTGTAAATCACACTCAGTATTTTGTAATGCCGATTTTACGTATTGGTTCCCATGGTTCAGAAGGGTTTGGTTTTTGGTATCGTTGTTGTTTACACAAAACAAATGTTAAACTCGCCTGACTTAAGATTGTTCACGTGTAAGTGGGGTGAACATTAGACACAGTATGGGCCTTGTTGCGAGGTGCACTTATAATTGAATTGTTGTTTCGGAACACATGTGGTGAAGCCGCGACCGACTAGCACGCTGGTTAAATCACCTGGTTAATAGTGGTTATAATACTAACAGTTTATTACCTGTGCTGCAAATCAACTATCAACTGAAAATCCAATGCTTAAAGGTAACCACAATTTGGACCCAAACCAACTGTTGAACTAACTTCAAATTAACATGACTCCCCTCCCCCAGCGGTGTTATAAACAGGTAGTTATAACTTTTCGGGGAAGTATGAAACACGGAAAAGCTCCCAACTATGACAAGATTGGCTTACCTGGAGAGAAAATACCAGAAAGTGAAAGAAGTAATCTTGACTGGCTATTCTTATCTACTTTATTCGCAATTCCTAATAGATTCAAAAATAAGTCTCGAACTGAAGTATGAGTTCAAGGGATCAACTTGGCTTCTTTATTGTCAACGCTTTTGTGTTTTGTTGGCTGCTTTTGAACTAATAATTGTAATTCTATCGAAAAACCTGAAGAAGTTTCAATTTCGAGAAAGGGAATTCGGAATGTAAATCAGAAGTTATCCTTAATTTTCTGAGCTGCGCTTCAATATGGGAGAATATCAAAACTATAAGATTGATTTCTCTGTCTCATTTAGACAGCTATGAAAATTACTAGCCACTTGAGTTTAGTTGAAATGGCTGTTAAAGACTAAAGCGACATTAAAACTTTGCACCTTTTCGACACAATTGAGACTTTCAAACAAAATATTCTACCTTTTGTATCGAAATCCTTTAGAGAATTTGCCTAGAAATTCTTTTGAAACTTAAATCCTTTCCCTAATTTACGAGCTGTAGCACAAAAAGATTTTTCGTTTCGTATAGTAGATTAATTATCGCATGAGATATTTGTTTTAAAATCAGAAACATGAAAAAATCTTTTTGACTAGGAACAAAATCAACTGTAAACAGTCATAAATTCCATATATTATCCCAGTAATTTCAGACAGAAGCGCCGTTTAACCACAAAAACTGAAGTGTTTCCGTACCCCGCTGCTAAATACGCCACAGTTTAGCCTAATTAGCACCTCTATGGATATTCGGGCACCCAAAACGACCATGTTTTAGCCCTATATCGTAACTTAACTCTGCATTTTCAATAGTTCAACAGCAATTTATCACCTTCAAATGTTCTCTTACTTCATTCAAATTAAAACAATTGCATTGTGAAAGCCAACTTTAGACTGATATAGTTAAAATTCGATTAACGGTTCTTAGAAATTGGGCCTATTATTGACCTGTTTGCACTGCCTTAGCTTGATCGTTATTGGGACATTAGTCTAGGGAACATTCCGGCGGAATGGCTTTTTTCCGTCGGCTCGTCAGAAGGTAGGGAAACCCACCAAAAATTGATCAATGATTTGAAAAAAAAAGGAATAAAGCGGCGTGACCGCTCACTCCAGAAAGTGTTTTGATCATAATTTTTTTGGCTTTTAGTTTGTTTCATTTTTGATTTTTGTTTTTCAAAATTTTTACTTGTTAACTTTTTTCGTTCAATTTTTTAATAGATGTTTTCAAGCAAAAATGGTTAAGTTAAGAAAACATTTCTTGATACGTGTTTTAGTGCAAATTGTTCAGCCCGGGTTGAGTTATCGATGTTCATTGACACAATAGCAAATTTTATCGATGGATTATCGCCAACTTAGCGCTGGAAAAACTATCAATTTTGTAGCGATGAAACAGCAATAATTCATGGGTGATATAAAATTTTTTATAATTAAGTCTAGAACTGAGTCTAGAAATAGCGTATTTCGGTCGCGGCTGTCGAAAAATTAGTCGCAGCATGATCGAAAATTTAGTCGCGGCGGTCGAAAAAAAATAGTCGCGGTGGTCAAAAAATTAGTCGCAGCATGTTCAAAAAATTAGTCGCGGCTGTCAAAAATTAGACCCGGCGGACGAAAAATTAAACGCGGTAGTCGAAAAATTTGCCGCGGCATGGTCGAAACATTAGTCGCGGCGGGCAAAAAGGGAGCTGTTTTCTAATACAGTGCTGATTTAATTTAATCAGACCAAAACGAGCAAAACTGGAAGTTTTAAACGCGTCTATCCATAACGAGCTAACATTATAAAAAACTGATCAGAATAAGGATTCCGACAAGAATAAACATGGAGCAATTCTGGGGTGGGTACGGATGGTTCAACCCACTCACCAGTGTTTTGACCCACTCACTAACCAAAGGAGGCTCCCTCTTGGTATTATTTTGTGACGTCCATTTTGGGCCGACCAACCCTAAAATTTTTATAAAGGCGCCAATATATACTAATTCTGAAGGGTTGTGTCAAAACTTTTAAAAAAGTGCCCAAAAACGACATTTTTGGTATGTTGTTTCAAAAATTTGCCTGCAGCGCAGATAGTTTTGTCAGAATAGAGTCTTTATAGTGTTCTGGGAGTGCTCGGAAAGTCAATTTGGTCGAATTAAAAAATCAACATAATACGAAAAATCCGCCCCTGATCCCGATCCCCTCGAGGAAACCTAGATTCACCACTGGTGCAATTTATTTTGCGAGTTTTAGACTCTAAATTTTATCCCAAAAATAGGTCATTTTGGCTGGTTTTAGTCACTCAAAAACCTCATTTTAGTCATTCTAAAAACACGCATGAGCTACGGAGCAAACTATTTTGCATTTTAGACCAAAATTGAGGCCCTATATAGCTCAAAAAATTATACAAAAAAAATCCGATTCTTTTTTGCAGTGGCTACTGTATTTAGGGCAGTTTATGCTAATTACACAAGGACCTTTTTATCTTTGTTAATTCAGCCAACGTCTACGCGGCCCAAGTTAACAATCTTCCCCTGAATAGACCAAGTGAACAGTCTCCCCCTAAAATTAAATGGCAATACCAAGCAGTGAGGCCTGCATGTACTATGCTCAAATCTGATTGGCTGAAAAGTATTATTTTCAACTAAGTGAACGATATCCTCTCTAATTCGATTGGGGGGGCATTGTTCAATTGGTTCATCTAGGCTTGTCACTTGTTTTTCGGCTCGAGTTTTGTTAATTCTTCAGCTCTCCTGATATATGGTCTAAATCCGATGCAACTGCTAGATGATGCGTTTTGGGCGTGTTTGCAACTTCTTCCGTAACATGCCCAAAACGCATCACCTAGCAGGTGCATTAGATTTAGACTATATATCAGGAGAGCTGAAGAATTAACAAAACTCGAGCCGAAAAACAAATTTTATTACAATGAATATTCCGCATTTGAAAGTCTATTTTTTGAATGGTTACAATGAATATTCCGCAGCAAGTAGCAGAATCGATCCTCTGTTTCATACAGATTTTTTTGTGCAACCTTTTGTTTTAGTATTTATTCGTTTTTATAGAGCGCTCTTTAACCAATTTCGTTGCTTGCTGAAGCTTCGCATGTTCTCAATTTGATTGAAATTAATTTTCATGTTTCAGTTGGTTTCATATCGACTGAATTTGTATCAGCATAACTTTGGCGCTTTGCATGCTTTTTTAAAATTATTTTGAGGATTTTTTTTCATTTGAAAGAAAATGGCGGTTTTTTGAAATAACTAGTTATTGAAAATGTATATTGTCATTTTTTTTGTAAAATCGTTAATTTTGGACTATTGCTTTAAAATTTTAAATCTTATTAAATAATTTTTTACGGATGTTATGTCTAAAGAGGTGTGTGGGATCCTCATGTTGTGGAATTTTGCATCAAAATTGAATATTTAGCTGTAAACTAAATTTATCAATAATCAAGGATAATCGGTTGCTGTGCGAGCAGCACTGAAAGTTGCGACCACATAAATAGAAGCAGTTGAAATAAATACAAAATCAAAAGCCTTCATTTTTTCCATTTTTGTAAGCTCCGGGAGTGGGTTGATTGGATAAAATATGCTGGCATAAGTTGATGATAGCTCAGCTCAAACCACGTTGAAACGCAGTAGATTTAAATAACAAATTCTCTCTTTCGCACGTTTTTTTTTCCACTCAAACTTTTTTTGATTTTTTTTGGAATCAGAATTACGACTGAAAAGCTTTTGAAATGAAACTACATTTAGGCCCTAAGAGCTTTCTTTGATGTAGTCAAAATCGGAGAGAAAAAAATCATTCCATTGGTCTTAATTCATTGCAACGATAGTCCGAACAAAAACTGTTCTGTTTTAGGCAGTTGCTTTCTATGGATATGGTATGAGCGCGAGTACAGCATTTTGCTTGTATCGAGTCTATTTTTTAGTTGGGGGCGAAATTTTTTTATTTCAAGAAAAGACTACAATGATTTCAAGTTTTAATATTTTCGAATTGTTTAGTTTCAGTTAAATATTTTTATGTGCTACGTTTAGCAGGTTATTATAATTTATTGCAGTATTAATAGGACGGCTCTTCCATTTGTGTGTATTCAAAAAGTTTCGCTTTTCGATAAGCAACCAGGAACTAGAACGCAAAAATTTTTGTTCACACGAGTTTCAACTTAAGGATCTCTAATTTAGAACCTCCAACTTTAATCGAGTTGCACTTGTTGAGCCGAAAAGGTATAAGGTTTATAATTATGTTCCAGAGCTGAAAATGCCTTAGTTTTTAGTCCCTTTTATTGATTTTTTGTGAGTTTTTAGCGGCTTAATTTTTCATTTTTTTTTAATTTTGTTTTCGAGCAGCTTACATATAGAGTATGTGCTTTTGGTTTTCACTCACTTTGTAAAACCTTTAAAAAAAGAAAATTATTTGAAATGGATTTCTATTTTTAAAGAAATATTTAAAGTTTTTTGGGTGCATGATTGTGTTTTGTTTTGACGTCTGAAAGTACATGAGATTAGTTTTTAGCAACTTAGCGTCAAAATTAGTTTTCAGCATTTTTCTTGTCAACTAAATCAAGTTGATTACACAGCCGAGTTTTTATATTTATGTCCATAAAAAATTGGATAAAAAATAAATGTTTGAAACTCATCGATGTGATTTCAATTTTAGTCTGTATGTCTTAGGCTTTGAAAAGAATTTGACGTACTCAAGAGTGTGGTTGCTTCTGGTTAGGTTTTTTCGAAAAAAAATGTTCTATGTGTTTTTGGGGCCTTGTTTGTTGTTGTTGTATTTTGACGGTTAATGAATAAGCTTCTCATTTTATAAAAAATTTTCCTTTTGGGTTGATTTTTTTTCGATTTTTGGCAACTTCTTGCTTGTTGCAATTTTTCAAATTGTGATTTTAATATTCATTCAAGTTTGTAGTGGTAAAGTACAGAGCTTTTTGGCAACCCCAAATGCTTTTGTTGGACAAGCAATTTATGTGGCTTCAAGAATTTCAGCAAAAGTTTTATGGAACACTTTGCAACTTTCAGACTACCAGTTTTCGTTCAAAGTTCTGATTTTTAGTTTTTATCAATTAGTAAATGTTAGTTATGAGAAAGCATTAATTGGAGATTAATATTAGCTTCACTCCTTCTTCTACTTAACATAATTGATTTTTGTAAGACTTTCAGAAAAAAAATCTTTTTTCTCATCCGACATTCTTTTTCAACTGAAGTCCAATAGTTTTTTGTTTCCACGGTATAAGATTTCGATGAAAATAGTTTTTATTAAAAGTAAACCAAAACGTTCGATTCATTCAATTATGAAAAACTCAAGGGAAATTCAACGATCTTTTTAATTTTTCTGAAAGAGTTTTAATTTATGTTTCGAACTGTGGTATTTAGTTTTCCATCGAAAGTGATGTGAAACTCCGCATTATATCTGGGTAAAAATTAGGTTTGGGAAAATGAACATCAATATGTTTACGCATGCGATTAGCCAGCGCAATCAAATCAGTGCTAGTTTTTCAATAAAATAACTTGATTCTTTTTTGTCAACACTGCGATTTTGTCAACTAATGACATTTTTTAAGCACGTCAACGTTTTAAAAACATTTTATTTATCATTTTGTTAATCATTTTGATTGTTTTTGGTTGTTAATTAATCTATTTAGTTGAGTCTTTTTGTGGTAGATTTTTATATCTTTTTTTTGTCGTAGATTTTTTCATGGGAATAAAGTTCTGACGAATTCAATATATCATCTTAGTTGACTTTTTAGTGTCATTTGATTGCAAAATACAAATTCGAGTGTAAAATTTCGAGATTTGAAATGTTTACTAGCTCCAAATTGTTTGTGCAAATCGTCAATTGGTGTCTCATAAAGTATTTTTTAGCTGACTTACCGCTGCGTAAGTTTTGTTTCGATGCTAATTCAACACTGGCTGACGTGTTAACGACTTAAAATGGAATTATGAAAATCGAGGTTTACATATAAAAATCATCAAACCGTTTTGAATTTTTTCTACACATAGTGGCCTTGTCTCATTTTATGTCCGCTTGTTTGATGTAATCTGAATGTGTTGTGTCGCAAATGGTGCCAAGCTTCAATTCACCTGTGTAAAAGTGACATAATTTGAGTTTGTTTTGTTTCCTTTGAGAAGCTTTTACCGGTTTTTTGCAGTTTTTATGAGTTTTTAGGACTTTTTATTGCATTTCAGATTGGATTACATTAGTTGTGTTTTAATGAAAACATTTTTTATCATGAAAACAACGATAAAATTTGAGTTTGTTTTCAGATGATTTAATTTAGCTCATAAATTTTTCATCCCAGCTGGTATCGACTATTTGTTCCGACTTTCGATACGAAAGTAACGGAATATTTGTGCTCGGGGTGGGTTTTTTTTTCTTCAGACAAATTTCGACTTTTTAACTGGCCATTTTTGACGGAATTTTTTTTAATCAATCGAAAGATATTGTTGTCTTGAACTCAAATTTGAAAAGATATTTTACCTGTGATCATTTTTCGTAAAGTTACGGGGGTTTAAAGATTGCCATTTTGGCCAATTTGGGACAATTAACGCGCGATATATTTCGCGTTATTAACGCGTAAGCGGAGAGTTAATCAATCTTAGAAATCTTTCCAAATTGGATAAAAGAAGCCTATTTGCCATAATTGGTTTGTTATAAGGAGCGAAATCTATCCTTTTATACTTTATATGGCGTGTGGGGGGGATGATTTTTATAAACAAAAATTCAAATTTTAGATTTTTTTTTCATTTTGTTTTATTTCATTGAATTTTTTAATGTTATTACTGCTCCATAAACCTTAAAAGGCAGTTGGAACATTCAGGGCTTCGCCCTGATACGAGCAATCTTGTTTGTTTTTGTGCAAAAAAGAACTCGATCGGTTCGAATAGCTTTTAACCTGATTTTTTCGTGATTTTTCTTAAAATTCGTTTGATTTCATGTTTGCGTTCGTTTTTAAATGCTTCTCAGATTCTTGTGCTCCTGGGTTTTTGTGCTCGGACTATTTTTTCTTCTGCAGATTAAATTCATATTCTAAATTAGTTATTTTGAACGAAACTTTTATACCATATGAAATGTATTCCCCTTAAGCTCAAATTTAAAACAATGTTTCTCCTGTGAGTAGTTTTCGAAAATTATTTGGCTTAAAACTTGCCAAATTGGCTAATATGGGTCAATCAACGCGCAAGCATTTTCGTGGTTTTAACAAGTAAATGACTATTAAGTCCGCCTCCGCTCATAATTTGTTCCAAATTAATTTGAGGCAAGATATTTGGTGTAAATATTACGTCACTAGATACTAAAAACCTCATTTTTTTTAGCATATCGCCTGAGGTTGAATTTTTTTTTTAATTTTTATCAATTTTTTAATTGATGTTTTCAACATCATTTCAAAAACCTATTTCACAAGCTGTCTTGTTTTGTACTTTGATGCTGAAAGTGTAATGCGGATTATTTATAAATGGCGACCAAATTGAATCGAGGCAATAAGCTAACTGGCCGTTATAATTCCATTAACAACTCCAATTTTAACACTTAAATTTTGATCTTCGAAGCCTGAATAATTCGTTTAGAAAAAAATATTCGAGCTCAGGACAGTCGAAACACTCAGGCCTTTGCTCTGATACGATCAGTCTTTGTTAGATTTATTTAGTTGCGTTCGTCACTATCTCCTCATGTTTAAGCACTACAGTTTTTGTTTGTTTAAGCTATACCAGACATCAAGGCCTCGAAATTTTCATTTGAATTTTTCCAACAAAGGAACTATTCGAACTATTTTAACATTATTGTTCCGAATTTTGAAGAAAGTGCGGAATATGTATGCGTATTGTGGTTTTTTTTTGTGAGGTCAATTTTTAACTGAGCATTTTTGACACATTTTTACCACCTAAAAATTGAAAGAAATTGTGCCTGGAGCTTACATTTTGAAAAAATATTTCACCTGTGATCATTTTGCGTTAAGTTATGTGGGTTTGAAAATTGCTAATTTGACCAATTTGGGATAACTAACGCGCATAATTTTGCGCTCTTATTACACTCGTAAGCTGTGGATTCATGCGTTCCAACTTCAATTGAGGCATGTCAGTTGGTCATACTGTAACGGTAAAAGAAGTTAAATACTTCCATCTCTAGTTTACCTTAACATTTTTGTAGATGAACGAGCAGTCTTGTTGTGCTTAGATTAACCTTATGTTTTTTTTTCTGGTTAAGCTGATGTTTTAGTAATCTAATTTCTTATGACGCAATTTCTTTTGTGAATTGAAGCTCTACGCGGATTTTTTTTCGCGTGATAAGTTTGTAATAACTTTGTATAACAGCAATTCAATTTAAACACTTTAAATATTTTAATTAATTGAATAACGTGCATTTAATCAGATGTTAGATTTAAAAACGGATCTTTCTATTTGAGACAAATGTTTTGGTGCAGCTCAAGTATGTCTAAAGTTTTTTTTCCAAACCAGGTCAAAGGGGGACAAATGCTCCGAGATCAACTACTTCGACACCCCCACTCTCACTGGGCGGGGCAAACATGGAGGCGGCAAGCACGGGGGAGACAAGAGCGAGCCCCTGGCGGCACTCTACCCCAACTACCGCAACGTGTTCTTCTCCCGCCTGGACCAGGACTTCACGCCCGTGATGGAGCTGCCCAAGACATTCCGCATCGCCCTTCCAAGCGGACAGCTCATATCTCGCCCCTTCCCAAACAAGTGGGTTGCTTTTCAGCAAGGTTTTAATTACAGCAGTCACAGGATCTCTTTAACGATCCCCCTTTTGCAAAAGGGGAAGGAAGATTCGTACTAGTTCAAAAAAACCACATATGCTTAACCGATGAATTGGTACTGCACATGGGCATAGTTGAAGGGATCTAAAAACATGTTTACGTTCACCTTTCAGTTTAAGTTGAGCATCATGTGTACGTTCAGCAACATGTTTACAAACAGAGTTTTCAGCCAACGATAAAAAACCCTAGAAAAACTTGAACCTGGAAAGTTTTTGGCTCCTATCAGTAAACCATGTTTATTGCTGATAACTTTCCGAAAAAAAACGGACTTCCGCTGAGATGATTATAATGACTATAAGTTTTGCTGGCTTATGTATGAGAAAGATGGTCTAAATGGTAACGGAGTAGCATCAAGAGATATGGTTTGAAGTGCTATTTCTGTTTGATGATTTTGATCACCTGTTTATGCAGTGTGCTTGAATTGATTGTGTGTGCATAGTACGCAAATTTATTCTTTAAAATAAAGGACCAAGTTAACATACTCCTCCCAAATCCATTTAGGGGGGAGGATGTTAACTTGGTTCTGAGTTCGAATTTTCAGCCAATCAGAATAGAGCATTTTACATGCAGCGCTAAGTAGATTTAAATTAAAATGAAGGCTCATGTGAAAAACGAAACGAAAGTCAATTGCTGTTCCGACCTCAATGATTTAGGAAAAAAAATTCAAACAATAAAAAAAATTGACAAAAATCGAAAAACGATCCAAGAATTAGGTGAGGAGGACGCCAAAAATTGCCAGATCAGTTTTTCTCAGCACAGACAACTTTATTGAAATTAAAAAAAAAAAATCGGAATTGAACCACACTTGGTATCCTACGATGGGATTGAGTTCAGAAATTCTTCTTGTAAAGTAGGAGAAATGGTTTGACATTTTTTATTATTCACACTGTCCTCATTTCTGTTATATGCTGATACAATTAAGCACTAAATTGCGGAAACATTTTTGAATCTGTGGTTTTAAATAGCGCTGTTTTAACTAAAATTGGATATTTGATTTCAAATAACTCCAAATCTATTTAGTATGAATGGTACGACGAAAACCACTATTCTAATCACTAAACGCTCCGTACCTTTGTAGTTTTAGTATACCACTTCCTGTTATTACACATGTGTTGATCTCGTCACCTGTTATCAAGATCTGTTTGTAGTTTTGTTTCATTTTGGTGGTCTGCGCTTTTAAAGACACGGGTGTAATACGGGTACAGGTCCTGGGCGCTGAGTGTTAAGATCTCTCTATGGCGCAACGGGTTGAATTTTCTTTAATCTCTGTGTCTATAGTTTATTAAATCAAGACAACTTAATATTCGAGTATTAGTATGCGAGCTTTGGCTTATTATAAGATTATTATAGATAACGAAAAAAGTTTTATCACGAAATACCATTTCAAAAACAGACTAAGAGATGATTCCTTTTATCACGGTTTTAAGAATGCGTTTTTGCTCAATGAATATAGACGTGTTTGCATGGCATGCAAAAATTCGAGAAAACTATACAAATCTATAAAACTGACTCTGAGCATTTTTTTTGGAAGCATTACGAGGCCAAACTGTGATAGGCGCGCAATTTGGAGTTTGCAGGTCTCTGGAATCCAGAGACAAATCTTCAAACAAATTAATTGAGATTTTTATTCATTCGCTCCAAAAACTTTCTGAGAAAATTTATGGTCCTGCCATCAAAAATCATATCGAAAAATAGTTACTTTGGGTAGTGATCAAGGCTACTTTTATTGCTGTGTGGAACTCCCCACTACAAAAGCCAGTGAGGCAATGCACAGTTTTATGAGATGTCAATTTTCAAAAATATAGTGTTTTGATGTCGAGAAAAGTGTTTTATTGTCAAAAATATAGTGTTTTTATGATGAGAAAAATAAAGTGTTTTGATGTCTATAAAAGATTTAGTGTTTTGATGTCGAGAAATTTTTTGGTTTTAAAGTGAAAAAAAAACCGTGTTTTCTCTCAAACTTTGTGCCGTTTTTTAATTAGCTTTAATGATTTGAAAATAGATCTTAGTTAGATAAAATGAGCCTAACTAAGGTCAAAAAATTGAACTGAAACAATTTGAAAAAGTATTTTTTTTTTCAATTATTTTCCCATTCCGTCTGAAAATTAGTCCTAAAATCTTTTCTCGATACCTAGACATTTTTTGGGGTTTTTTATTTTGAATCCAAATCTCTACTTTGATGTGATATATCACTCGATATGATCTGACGTTTACTTTGGTCAGATCTGGTTTTTGGTGAAAAAAAAAACATCTTAAGCCATAGTTCTTTATCAACCCTCGAGGGTGGTGGGACCAAAAACGTAAGATCTAAGGTATTTGTAGGCATCAAAACAAGTTTTTTGGTCTGAATCAAATTGTATCTTTGCACGTAGTATTTTGTTTCAGCACCTCTGTTTACGAAGTGGTTTCGCGGCTGGCGAGCGAGTACGAGTTCGACCCCACCCGAGTTGTCGTCACTCACAAGGGGGACGAACTGCCCCCTGCGGCTGTGTTGCTCGCAGACATATCACCCGATGGCACTCTCCGGCTGTCCTTCCGAAAACACAAAGGGAACACGCGGGCGGGCGGCAACGGGACAAACAGCGCGGCAAACAAGTATAACACAGCGCCACAGAAGGTTAGTAAATTCTAACTTTATCTACAAAACTATTCGCATCTGTTGTATATATGGGATTATAAGATGCGGAGGGTTACTGCAACCCAGTATTGTGATTGTTACTTTTAGGGTTAGAAGCAATAATCACAAGGTTAACTTGCTACAGCAGAAAAAAAAGAAAAAAAATGTCAGATTTTTTATTGAACAAATTAATTACCTAAATTCATTAAATTTTCAGCCCTATTTTGCCATAAAGCTAATTTCTGCAACTTTCTGTGAGTGTGGTAAAAATAGCGTCTGTGGCACTTTTTGGTAAAACTTTTTTAAACCAAAACCTTGGATTTTTGGTGCGTGCTTCTTCCTTAAAACTAAAATGTTTTGGCGCCACATGCGCATTGGAAAAAATTGAGAGATTCGGCCCGAAGTTCTTCTCCTAAAACAGTACCAAAGGGGGGGTCGAAAACTGTTGTTCCCTCTTTGATCTTAAGTTCAAAATTTTCCATTGATTTCCTCGATTAAGAGGAACACTTGTCGATGATGACTATCATAAATGATCCGAAGCTCCGCAACCGTGAACAATTCTTTTGTTCATTTTGTCTTTCTCTTTTCAGTACACTACACTACCAACATTCTTTCGCTCAATCATCTATTTTGGTGTATTTTTTTTCACGTCATTTTTTTACATAATAGAACACAATATACAAATTTTATATTGATTTTGTTCTGTTAGTTTGGTAAGATTGGTAATAGAATCTGCAAAGCCCTCTAGAATAATATCAAACTTGACTGGTTCAGTAATTTATTTGCTATTGTTTAATATTTACTACTGCTAGCTAATCAAGTTATTTATTGCTTAAATGGTAGAATAGTTTGTGATGAAGTTCATTATTTTTGCAACTTTTGCCTTATCGTGATATAATTACACACAATATAATGAGTTTTACCAAAAACTTGAAAGTATTTAATCGGCAGGAGATGATTTTAGAACGCGATAAATTCAGTTAAAAGTTTCAATTTTCGATACATTCAACTTGTTTACATGGTTGGAAAATGAAAATTCATTCTAAGAAGGTACGAAGAGTTTTCATTTTAATTTTTTAATTATGTATTTATGTATAATTTTCTTTTTCTATATGTTTTAATCAAGAATATATTTATGATTTTTTTTCTTTGTTTTCTAGCTCGACCAAATTGATTTCCTTGCTCTGTAAACATTTTTCCAAAATTTTTTGTTCTCGTGGCAGTTTATTTTAAAGAACTGGACAGTCCGTATATTGTTCCTTTCACTCATAAATAAATCGTCTCTATGTAAAAAGTATCAAAACTGTTGTTTTTTGGCACTTTTTTTGAATGTTTTGACTCGCTCGCCGCATAGAAAAAACTACAAAGTTGATGGACAAAAAATATACGTAATAAAAAGTACAAAAAAGGACTTTTGTGTGTTCAGAGGTTTGTTCGCCCCAAATTTAAATTACGAAATGTGAAGTTTCAATTGATAAACCTGAATAGCTATTAGATGTTTCCTTCTTGAAATTTTTTGAAAAAGTTTCTTTGCGAAATATTTCTAGAAGCTAGCCAATGGGGTTTTCTTGTTATTTTAGCACATGCAGCATGAAATGAACAACAACCACGGTGGGTACTCGACCGAGAAGACTTCAAAGAAAGCTCTCGGTGCATCCACCGACAACGCCCCCTCCGAAGGCAAACCAGTGGGACCACCTCAACAGGTTAAAAACACAAAGGCGAAGCGGAGCTTGGCAACACTTGCAATTTGAAAAAACAAATCGAGCTACAAGATAGTGAATGACAAAAAAGACAGAAGTCAAAAATTTCCGAACAGAAAAACACTTGAAAAAATTACTTAAAAAATTTCATATTTTGAGCCGAAACTGTTATCATATAAAATATTGTAAGTTTCAAAAGTTTCTACGACCCATCCAAATGGAAACACATAAATGCATACGGATATAATTTGCCCTCGAAACTACGCAGTATAAGTTGACTTAGTACATTTAACATAAACTGATACTTAATTTAAAAAAAAACGAAAAAAAAAGAAAAAATGACTCAAAATCAGATTTGGTAAATTTATAAGGTAAACTTTCAGTTACAGCAAAAACTGTTTAAATTGGAATAAAACCCATGCTTTATAAATAAACCAATAAAAACCCTCGCAGTCAAAAACTAGCAGAAACTAGCACGAAAACCACGAACCCGAAAACAAATTGATAATTTTTAAGATAATTACAACCTGAAACAGGCTTTAAATAATTACTACATAAGTAATACTAGCTTTATTTGAATTTTCAAGAACTTGAGCATCTCAGAAGATGAATGAGTCGAGGTGATGAATGAGTCCTGTGAATAAAGTTGTTTACGGGAAAAAAATGTCTAGTACCCGATTGCAATACCCTGGCTTATCGCAACGGTAATAATTAGAAAATATATTGTTCGAAGCGTCTTTCAAGCTAGGCTCTTCATCCTTTCCCCCACCTGCAATCTTTTTATTAAAACTTTTGTGTACTTTGTCCGATTCTTATGAAAATAAGGGCGATGAATAATAAGGTTAATCGAAACATATTTGTTCCAAATGTTTTGCCTTGTAAAAGCACTCGTTAATTCATAAAACTGATACTTATTTGAAGTATGTGGGAGAAAAAAGACCCCCCCCCCCAAAAAAAAAGCCAAAACCAATCTAGTCTTTGTAATTTCTGAAAGATAAATGCAAGGTCAATTAGCATTTTCTAAGAATAAAGCAAAATTTGAAAATCGAATCGATAAGCAATCTATCGGAAATGCAAAATCAAGGTTCTCCTTGCTACCTGAATGGTATTTTTTTGGAATTTTTTGCGCAAAATTAAGCAAAAGGGGGGCAATTAGGCGCCATTATTTCATGACTTGAATGTGTTCAACTTTAGGTGAAAGTTGACGTCACGATTCCCGAGCTGAACAACAAAATGGTCATCAGAATCAGTCCTCTCTTAACATGCAGAGATTTATTGAACATCGTCTGCCATAACAAGAAGTTAGATAAGAGTCAACGGGAGATCCGATTGGCCAATGGACCTGCTCCGAATGTGGCGTCGTCCTCGCAGCCAATCAACGACATCTCACGACTGGTTGTAACTGTCGGAGTTTCCTTTGTCGTGTGTCAAGGTAAAATAATCAAATTTCCTCTCGGCTGATGTCGTGACATCATCATCGGACCGTCTTGCTACTTCGATTTTATAGTTTTTGGGCAACAACAAGTCAGAATCTTTTTCTCATATAATGTTAATATTAAAAAGCCTTCCAGGGCTGATTTGTCGAGTCAGTTTTGGAATAGCTCAGTTTTGTTTCTTTTCAAGGTCGTCCTTACCTAATCCATACAAGGTAAGTTTGGTGGCTTTCTGTTGTTTATGTTAATCAGTGCCTCGATTATTTAGTTTCCGTTGTGTGAAAAATAAATTGACTGATTCTTTTCAGTTTTTAATTTTTGTTTTAATTTTTTTGGCAAGTTTTGTATATATAGAAGTTGATGTACCTTCTTTGTTAAGTTTTAATGAGTACCTTACCATATCGAAATGCGGCAGTGTTTTCTACGCCCTGTCTAATTCTTTATGTAATCAGTGTCTACTTTTGGAGAATATAGACATTAAAAAACGAGAAAGATCACTTATGTAAATGTTGTTCTTTGTTTCATCACAGCCTCCCGCAGTATCAATGGCCCCCTTGCAAATGGCAGTGAACATCAGCTTCATATGAGTACACCCCAATCCCACTCCAATACCCTCGGACTCCCAACATCATCAGGAGCAGCAGCAACAGGACGCAGACTGGAGATGTCCGCGCCCTCGACTCCACTTTACGGGACCAAGGAGAAGAAGAAACGATTGTCCTTTTTTGGCCTCATGAAAGGCAAGAGTCGCAACAAGGCAAGTTCTTACTGAGCAAATTTAATTGGAAACTCTTCTTTTTTTAAATTGCTCTGTATTTAGGCTCCTTAGATTTAGCTTTATAAACAAAAACATCAAAACTGGTAGCTCAACTTTTCTTGGATAATGTATGAAATAAGAGTTTTTACTGAAAAGTAGCGGCGTGCGCTCATCTCCAAATTTCGGCAACCAAACAATTCAAAGTATAGTGAAAAGAATTTTTTGATAGAGGAAAATTGCTTTTTTCCAGAACGACGACATATACGCTAGTGGTCCGTTCGACCCTTTCTCCAACAGTCCCGCTACTACCTCCTCTCCGATCCAAGTGGGGGAACTGAGAAAGAAACTCCAACACAGTCCATCACTTGATGGAGTGCTGGACGAGCCGTTTTCGACCTCCCTCCGAGAGACCCCCTCTCGACCCCTCCCCCTTCAGCATAGTACTCATTTCGGGGGCAGTGATTTTGACATCACTACTTCCTCGTCTACACGGGTGGGAGCTGGAGGAGTAAATGACGTCAGTTCGTCTATGATTGATCACACGATTCTGCCGACGGTTCTGAGTCACCCGACAACCAACACCAGTTCCTCCTCTAATTTGCAATCTTTTGCTCCGGTGAGATTTTGAGGTGCTGTTCTCATAACAGGATGACCAAATGGGCGAAAATTTTAAGTCAATCATTATCGTTTAAACTGTGCAAAACTTGCTCATTTTCTCGTTCACTTCTTTCGAACTTTTGAATACGGAACTTTGAGTGACTGACATAATTATCAGGCATTCGTTCCTTGTGGCATTAGGGACTCTCCCATTTTTAGGAAAAATGTTTGCTCTAACCTTATTTAACCGAAGTTGAGGACTTGATGCTTTCAAAAATTTGTCCTCAATGTTTTTACAGAGGTTAAATTTTTTCAGCTCGTAAGAATTGAGAACCAATTTTTTTTCGTCTAATTTTTTTAAAACATTTTTGTGTGCGTTGATCACAGAAAATCTCAGACAAACAAACAGTTTCTGCAGATTTTGTCGTATATACCAGTTTTATATGTTTCAGATGTCCAAACATCGAAGCGCTGAAAACGTGTCATCTGCTATCAACGGCATTCAAAAATCCTCTCCGACTTCGCCCGAAGGCAAAGAAGTCGGGACGAACAGCCGAATCAACTCAAATGACGACGAAGACGCGAATTCCGACTTCAGCGGAGGCTTCAACATGGCCGATGTTAAAATATACGAAGATTTGCCATCTCCTTCGTCTAATTTTGATCCTACTGAAAGTGCAGGTAACTCGCCCCACACCCCCGCCGGACTCGTCCCGGCAACAGGGGCGAGAAAAGACATTCGACTTAGAAAGCGACAGCCGAATGGAGCATCGATGGGTCTGGCGCGGTCTAACTTGAGAGTGATGTCCTATTCTTCAACCCCTGACATTGTTACTGACGTTGAAAGAAATTTCGACTCCTACGATCAGCATAAAAATTCAAGGCAGGCACTTTTTTATTGTGGTTTTCGTGCATTTTTTGCTGTGTCGTTTATTTTTTTTATAAGCGTGGTCATCAATTTTTGTGTTTTTTTTCTGACAGCTGAGTTTTGCTGAAAACTACTCATGTATTTTGCATGATCAATGGTTTTAGTGTATTTTTTTTGCTCCGAAAGCAGAATTTCGACGAAAAAAAATATGAATTTTCCAAGAGATAACTATTATTTCAAAAAAGCTCCTCAATGCTTTTTGCTCCAACCATTTGAAAAATGGGGAAGAACTTTGTATTCGGGTGTTTTAGTTTTTTCTTTTTTTTTGCTTTCCATACAAAACCAGCTACCACAAATACCAATCGGAAAAAGTTGAGTGGTAGATAAATAATTTGGAATTTTTGAATTTGGATTTTTTGATTTTTCGTCTTAGTTCGAGCGAATAGAGCAAGCCAGCAGGCTTACAACAGCTGAATCATGCCTAGTTAAAGACCTTAAAACTTTAATTTTAAGCAAGTAAAACTAATTGTTGGAGTTTTTTTAGCTTCACTTTGGGAACCAAACCTTCAAAAAATTCAAAAATTTTCTGCAAAAAAACTTTGAAATTTTTTGACCAGTTTGCATATATTACTATGACTGTCTAATAAGCCTAACTTATATTTTTACGTCAGATCTTTTTATCACACTAAGCAGAAAAAATTCCACAAATTTGGAAGAAAAAATTTCTAAAACGTCTAGTTTTCTAACGACTATGGTCAGAACATTCTGGGCTACTTGCACAGTAACCGAAGTTGCACAGTAACCGAATATCCGTTTTTCATATTCTTATTTGAGTATACCTATATTTATCATCATAATACGGCGTTTGCAGATAACATTTGAATTCCAGAGGTGGCGGTCAAAAAAGCTAAAACAGTCGTTTAATAAGAAGACCAAATAAGATTTCAATCTAGTTTCAATGAAACAAAAGGTAAGCATTCATGGACTTACACAGTCAAATTCCATTCCAGCAATGAAGCTAAATCTGGTTGAAGCAAGAACAAAAAATTCAATATTTTCCCAACATAAAGCCGTCAATTTCAATCCCCATATCCAAGGATATTTTTATTTTACGTTCATTGAAACCGGTAAAAAATCTGAAATTTTACTTCATCGCAAAAAAACTAAAATCGAGATTTTATTTTGTGTCTAAAACCTCTATTTTTTAAATATTTGATTTCATCTCAAAATCTCCACTTTGGAATTTTAATTTGATTCAATCTGTTTTTAGTCTCAAATTTGAGGGAAGACACGGCGACGACTACGATTTAACACTGTCATCTGACCTGCTGTTAGGCCCCTCCTCCTCCCCCCGCACTTCGGTGCCTCGGAAACTAGCCGAGCCAGGGGGCAGTGTGGGTCTGAGCGGGGGACCTCCCAGACGAAAAGCGCCCCCACCCCCTCCTAAGAAAACAGCCACATTGTCGGGGGAGGATATTTACGGTGTTAACAGGTTTGTTTGTTTTTCATCAATCAATTCAGTTTTCAAAATTTTTTAGAAATGATTTTAGGAAAACTTAGAACAAAATTTCTTTTATTTATAGGTTAAAATTTTCAGTTTAAGTTTTCCAAGATTCCTAAAACATAAAATTTCAAATTGCAGGGAAACGCCTGTAAGTTAAAATTTTCTGTATAATTTTGTCGAAAACTCCGAAACTTAATTAAAATCACATGGAAACAAAGTTTCATTCAAGTTTAAATTTTCAGCAAGTGATAATAAGACAGAAAATATGAATGTAAAAGGTTCTTTGTGCCTTGATGAACAAGTAATAATACATATATTATGTTTTTATAGTAACGGATTATCTGTTGAATCTATGTCGGAGCTATCCGCGGACCCGCCTGCAATCCCGAAACGAATGGCTCTCGGCAATCAAGTCGACACTTTCAGTAAGTACACGCCACAGCCACTTCCTCGAGTGTCCTCGTTGCAAACCGCTCGAGGCGAGTTACCTCCAAGTGTTGTCAAAATTAGACAACGTCATCAAAACGAAAACAGTGGAAGAGCGGTGGACTCGAACCGACGCCAAACGATCGGCGGATCGTCTGTTTACCCGTCTCAAAAAAACGAAGATATGAATTATGGGGAAGGGCAAGAAAGTGAACTGGTAATTCCGCGCCCTCCCCACGAAACGCCTCCGTCGGCGAGGGGACTGAGGTCAAAGCGTCGTCCGTTGTCGACATGTGAGTCCGTTTGTTCGTGTGTGCATTCCGGGTATGCCTCCAGCGTGGCTGGGAGAGGCGGTGGAGAGGGATCAAATGTGGACTTGTGCTCCCAGTGCTGCTCCTGTCGCAGTTCGAATATTACTCTATTGGCAGAAAACGACAATGGTGAGTTTGACTTAATTACACAAGCAATGCTTGTGTTAAAGTATGAACTATCTTTTTTTTTCAACCTAAGTCGCAAATATTGTTGGGACGCAGATACTGTTGCGATAAAATGTGTTCATTTTGATCAATAACCAGCTATTTAGTACAGCCAATGCTAAGGATTTTAACACAGGCTATTATTGTTGCGACTTTCGTAACAAAAGTAACGGAATATTTGTGCTCGGGGTACTTTTTTTTCTTCAGACAAATTTCGATTTTTTAACTGGCCATTTTTAACGGAATTTTTTTTTTATTTAATAAAAAATATTGTTGCCCTGAGCTTAAATTTGGAAAGATATTTCACCTGTGATATTTTTTATAAAGTTATTGTTCCGACTTTCCAAAAAACGGAATATTTATGCTCGGTGTGGTTTTTTTATTCAGTCAATTTTCGGCAAGCGAAATAACAATTTTTAACAAAAATTGTTTATCTCCCGTTCGAGATATGGACTCCTTAAAGTCAAACTTAAAAAGTTATCTCAATTCCGATCATTTTTTGCAAAGTTCTGGGAGTTTGAAAATTGCCAATTTGACCAAGCGCTGGACTAATTTATGTGCGATTTGAACATTTTATTCATAATGTTGAAAACGTAACGCGAATTATTTATGCGTGGCGAATCATCCCGCTCAACAAATCGTTTAAAATTGAACTAGCGTTTAACGCACCTCCGGTGCTTAGAAATTTTTTGACAGCTCATGAAAAACTGCATATATTGGAAACAACATCTGCAAACTTTTAGTGTACTCTGACTACACCCAATTACTCACATTTGCCACATTTGCAACCACTGAGAGTACCTGAGAGCACCCTACTATAGGGTTAGGAATTCAAAATGTTGTGATTTTTTTAAACCTTAGTTTTCCGGAAAAAAAAATGAAAAAAACGTCATATCTCGAAAAGTAAAAGGATCTGAGCATTCATATTAAGAGGCAAGATTTGAGACGGCAGGGTGTACGCTGACAATAAGATTGTAACTTCATCGAGTTAGTAGTTTCAAGTTTTTTGAATTTCTTTGTAGGTAAGTTCTTGGTCGGAAACTAAAAGCATCTGAGCACTCGCATTTGCCAAAATTTGCAAATCTTTAGAGTGCCCTGACAACACCGAACTACAGCGTTGGGAATTTCAGATTTTTAAAAACTAATCATAATTTAAAATTTCTGAAGAAATCACAAAAAACGTCATATCACGAAAACTACAAAGAATTGAGCAGTCATAGTTAGAGGCAAGATTCGCAATCCTTGAGAGTACTCTGACAGGACCTAACTACAGGGTTGGGAATTTCAGATTTTAAAAAAAGTATAATAATAAATTAAGATTTCTGAAAGTTTTTGAAAAAAATCTCAAAAAATGTCATATCTCGAAAACTACAAAGAATTGAGTAATCATATTTAGAGGCAAGATTCACGATCCTTGTTAGTGCTCTGACAGTACCCAACTACAGGGTTGGGAGTTTCAGATTTAAAAAAATCATATTTTAAGTTTTTTGAAAATTTTTGAATAAATCACAAAAAACGTCATATCTCGAAAACTACAAAGATTTGAGCAGTCAAATTTGGACGCATGATTCGCAATCTCTGAGATTACTCTGACAGGACCCAACTACAGGGTTGGGAATTTCAGATTTTGCGAAAAAAAAATATAAGTTTTCTAAAAAATTTTGAAAAAATCACAAAAAAACGTCATATCTCGAAACCTACAAGGATTTAAACAGTCATTTTTGGAGGCAAGATTTGTAACTCCTTAAGTAATCTGACAGCACCCAACTACAGGGTTGGGAACTTCAAGTTTGGTAAAATATTTTGTTATTTTTAAATTTCTGAAAATTTATTGAAAAATCTCAAAAATCGTCTCATCTCGTTAACCAAAATGATCCGGGCATTCAAAATTGGAAGCCAAATTTGCAACCCCTAATTCGATATTGGGCTGCTTAATTTAAACTCGGTAAAATAACTACTAAAATCAAATTGGAAAATCAAAAAAAAAATCTTAACCATTGCATTATACGATATAGCTTAAACATGCAAGAATAATACGTTGAAAAAGCTTAAACATGGCGAGATAGTGAAGCCCGCTTTCAAATATAAAATAGATTAAGACTATAGCTAATCAATTGTATCAATTCGTACGACTCAAATTTTTACAATTGATCTTTGATATTGTCCAAACTTTATAGGTTTTCACTATTTTTTTTCCCAAAAACTATTTGATAGAGATTAAGGGGCATAGTAGGAACATATGGGCTTTGCCTTGATATACAAGCAATCTTGTTGGGGTTGAAAAGTTGCCATTTTGGCCAACTTGGGACAATTAACGCGCGATATGTTAACGCGTAAGAGGAGATTTAATCCGTCATAGAAATCGTTCCAAATCGGTTGAAGGAAGCTTATGCCAGATTTGATTTGATACTAGGAGCAAAACTCATCACTTTGTATTCAATCTGGCGTGTGAGTTTTCACAAAAAATCTCAAACTAAAAAAAAATCATTTTTTTATTACATTTATTTTTTTCATGTTGTTACTGCTCCTTAGACTGCTCTATAAATTGAGACATGTTAGTTGGGAAATTTCTTTTTTTGTTAATTTGACTGGTACTGCCAAAGCGTCATAATTGTGCGTCACTTGAGAAATTTTGTAGACTCAAAGTTTTACTCTTTCAGTTTTCCCAGTAGCGTTATCGGTCATATTTTTGCTTGTGTATGCGAAGTATAACTTTGCATATGTGTCTATGTTTTCTTTGCTGACTTCAGTGTCAAAATAAATAAGTTTGGAAGGAATAGCACCCGCACAATTAGCGAGATTTTTGAAAGGCTCAAAAATACAGGTAGAAAAATAAACGACAATTTTTGCAAAAATGTGCAATTTTGGTACTTCGGCAGAGCTCTAAAAATTAAAACCCTTGACTTAAGAAAAGTCAGCAACAATTTTCAAACCACTTTTCTGTCAAAAAACTGGCTTTCTTTTTGTCAAAAAACTGAATATGCCATTAATCATTGATGTTTTTTTTTGCGTGTTTGTACAACTGATTGCTTTTGGGGTTTTACCTGATTTTTTTTCTAGACAACATGTCTGACGTCATCAGCATCCGATCGGAGACTTCGAGTCTCGATCACTTCGGAGTGGAGATGGATAACATGGTAGCCATGGCTGAATTTGCACTCTCAGATCCGAATTTGAATCTCAAAATGGAAGACCTGGATAGCCATTCACCCCTGGACAGTACGACCCTGGATAGCAATATGAAGTATAACACAGTGCAGACCTGGCGACAGGGTGTGGCCGCCGGGGGAGGGGTCGGGGGTAGCAGCGTGTCTCTTGCAACTACTGCTTCCAGTGGTCAAGCCACTCCAAAAGCGGTTACTCCCGTGAATATGGTTAGTTTTTGAGAAAGAGAGAGGGGGGGGGGGGGGGTTCTTATTATAGAAGCAGCAAATCTTGCTCCAAACAAATTCAACCAGACAACCGTCCCGAGACGGTCCAAAACTTGTTGATTTGCCAGCTTGACTTTTGCAGCTTTTCAAGTACTGAGAGTGGGTAAAACAGTTTTCAGTCCTTACGTTTTTGATGTGAGGAATTCCCCAGAGTTTGCGTTGACACTTCGAATCCTTCAGTTTTTACCAGCTTCGAGGAGTTTTTAAAGCGAAATTTCAATGAAGTTTGAAATTTTTTTCTTCTTGTATTAAACTAGGTTTTCTTGACATTTGGTATCATTGGTGGTTTCTTTTAAATTATTTTTTCATTTGTGCTGATAGCAAATGTAATTTTAGAGTAGAGAGAATTTTGGACTCCCTGATTTTCAAAGATGCACTCCTGGTGAACTGAAATCTGTGTACGAATCGCTTGTGCAGCGCCTCGACGAGGTGAAGTCACAACTTGTCCTGGTCGGCGAATGCGATTGGCTGACTCAATATGGCCAATCAAAATCAGTTCAGACTGAAGATAACAAAGATGTCGGCAATATGAATTCAATTGAACCTCCTCCTAAATTTACAGACAATGAGAACACTTCAGCAGAAGCGAGTCGTGAAGGTACCAGGAGGTCGAAACCCGCTCGAAAACGAACAAAATCTAAAGAACGGTTGTCGAAAGAATTCGATGAGTATCGCATTAAGCCGAAAGAATCGGAAAGCGAAGAAATAGACGAAAATGTAGAAGTTGCAGTGAAGAAACCTGTCAATCAGCAAAGTAAATGGAGACCAATCGAATCTTTCAAAGCCAAATCCAGCCAAAAACATTGTTCGAATGGTGAAACTGAAATAAATATCGATGACGTAATGAAAGCTCCAAGTAAGAACGAAGAAGAGCTTGCTTTGTATGTTCCAGAACCGAACGATCAAGACTTTTACATCTCGTTTGGGAACCCCTCGCCAACTGCTAACTCGCCTAAGTTACGATCGAAGACAAATCAACCTAATAATTCGGTTGGTTCGCCAAAATTTGTTAAAAAGAGTAAACTGAAATCGGTCGGCAGTATGGACAATCTTTCTCGACCCTCAAGTGCTAAAAAGTATGCGGCTCCGAAACCTCCAAGAACTCGTAGCGTATCAAACTTGGAGGCGAGATCGCTAAATTCGACTCTTGATGGATCCGCAGTCGAAGGTATCGAGTCGGTTAACAGTTCGATGGCCGTCGAGACAGACGATGAGAGCGCCGCGTTGACTAAGGAACGCGTAGACGAGCCGAACGAGAAGTCGCCCAACAAAATAGTTCCAGGTGCAGTAAAGGCGAAGCGCGCTCTCTTTGAAGCATACAATGATACGAACTTGAGCAACTTTAGAGTGAGGAAATCGCACGATTGTTCAAGTAGTCGAAGTGGCGATAATCAGAAAATGATGAAGGCTGCGTCTACTAGTGACCTTGTATGGGCAATGAGTGAAGGCTAGTTATTTTTCCTTGACTGCTATGTAAAAAAAGTTTTTGAAGCTTGTCGTTTTCTGCTCGTAAAATTCATTTTTTTTGTAAAAATGAGGAAAAATTTTTCTATTCAAACATTAATTATTTACACAAGCAATCTTGCAATCAGAAAATTAACCAACGTAGCGTTATCACGATTTAATTCTGATAACTAGACTAAATATTGTACTTCAAAATCAAATGCATACTTTGTTTCAAAATCTGTTTGGGTATTTTTTCTGAAGTCATCGTGTTTTCTCCCTAGTACTATCGGGCTTCCTTTTTTCAGAATCTTTCGATAATCGTTGTTAGTGCTTAACCACAAAAATTGATTTTCTTGTTAAAAACTTGGTGTTAGAAATATATTTTATACTGTATTTGCAGAAATGCCGAAAGTGGTATCTCGCTACAAGAAAAAACAGGGCCCAAAATACAATCCGAGAACAGGGGAGGGCCTCACGGATTCGGCCACTGTCGGCAGACCCATTCGCAATTTACCCTCTCGACCCGAGGCACCCGACGACGACACGAACGAAGATGGGGAGTCTGCGGTCGGGAGCTCGGACTCGGATGGGAAGGGAGTTAGCTCAACACGCAAGGTAATTTGTTCCTCTTTCTCTCTCTCTCTCTCCCTCTCTTTATCTCTCATCTCTCTCTCTCCTCTCCTCCCTTTCTCTCTCTCCTCTCCTCCCTTTCTCTCTCTCCTCTCCTCCCTTTCTCTCTCTCCTCTCCTCCCTTTCTCTCTCTCTCTCTCTCTCTCTTTCTCTCTCTTGTAGTATTATTTTTTAAGTGACAATGAACGAAACGAAGACATAGATGGTGTAGTTTACTTAAGTTCGTTTCCTTTCAGGAAAAATTATTGAAATGGAAAACGTCTTGAAATTTGTTCATGCTGTTTTTTTTTGGGTTTGACTTTCGATTTCTGGTTAGGTTCTTTTCAAAAATGAAAATTAGTGTTATAACAACATTACAATTGATCAGAGGAATTACTCATTATTCGAGTTTTTGATCCGACCATTGAAAATGGGGAGAAGCTTTGAATTCGACTGTTTTAGTTTTTTCCTTTTTTTTGTTTTCCGCGCAAAATCAGGTAGCACAAATCATCGTCGGACTTGATTCAAAGATATATCATATTCAAGCGCTTTCAGTCATGGTTCGAACGACTTCAAAACATTTCAAAAAATTTTTCCCAGTGACGAGAAAAACTGGTATGCATTTTTGATTTTTCGTCTAATTTCGAGCAAGTAAAGCGAGCGAGTAGCTCATTATAGAAGGATAGCCGCAGATTAGTAGTAAATAAGCAATGAGCTTTTTATCAGAGCCTTCATAAACTAGAAAATAAGTTTACAAACTTTTTCTGGTCCATGTTGGAAATAAAAGACTTCAAAAATTCAAAAAAAAATTTGCAAAAAAATATTGTTTGTTATTTTTAAGGACAGCTGTATTTCAGTATGTCTATTTTACCATGAATACCAAAAGAGCCCGGAATCTAGTTGCTCAGAGTTTATCAGCACAAAAAAACACACACACACACACACACAAAATGAATTAATTTTAAAAGAAAGTTTTAGAAAACTTTTGTTTCGACCAGTTTTATAGAATATGGTCGAAACGTTATGTGCTACTTGCACAGCAACGGGCTATCTATGTTGCTTATTGTCTCAGTTTAATCAAACAAGTGTCAACCAATAAAAGTTTTTGAGAAAAGTGGACAAAAATCAATCCTTTTTTGGTTACTTGAGGCAGTTCGTTGACACTTTTCCAACCGTCTGTTGGCTGTATGAAATTTTTGCTCTTGATCAAATGGTATTTTGTACCGAAAAAATTCAGATTGGAACTAATTTTGTACCGTTTAGTTTTCCAAATTGTGGTTCGCCAAATTTCGTGAGCTTAGTCTTTATTAACTTCGACCATTACCCGAATGTGTTTTTGTTTCAGAAATTCGTTCCTTCAAGTGATCAACGTAAACCAGTGGTGAAGAACTTCGGCTCCAAAATGAACCATCTTTTGTAGATTTAATTAACAAAATGGACAACAGTAAGAGCTAGAGCTTGATTGGGCTAAGTTGATGCATTCGGGCTCCGAGGGATGTGTTTGAACCACTCAGCCGAAATAAACTGTGATAGATTTTGTACAATAATTTTAATTTGTTTAAATTTGTCAGTTTGCAATTTGTAATTGATTTTATGCCTTAATTACAACTGAAGTAAAAGTAGATGAAGGGAATGAAATCCGAGGCCAACGTTTTTGACAACTAAACCGCAGAAACCTCCGATAGTCATTGTTTTCAACGCGACTTCTTTTTTCCGCAACCAGGATACTTTCTAGATACAGCAATGGTAGAAATGTGTCATTGTTTTCAAGTTTTTTTCAGCTTTTATCTGCCTATAGTAGTGCCTATAATTTATCTGCTTTTTTGTGACTAGCGTCTAATGATATACCACGTTTTTTCTAGTTTTTTCTATCTTTTATCTGCCTATAATGACAGATTTTTTCGTGACTAGCTTCTAACTATATGCAGAGGGGTAGATTAGTTGGGGTCTTTTTTAACTGGGCCAAATAGATTTTCCGAGGTCGTATCTAATATTTTCGGATTTTGAGTTTTCGTTTGAACTTTGGTGTGGTTTTCAAAAAACTTTTGACATTCTTTTATGTTGGCTATTTAGTTTCCCACAATTCTAAATTTGTGCGCCGCATGCAATTGTTTCCAGAGAATGTCCAAAACAAGCTACCTTTAGGCAACTTTAAATTAAATTCAACAAATAATCACGTTTTTGGAGTTAACCAGACCCTCAAAATTAAAAAGATTCGTTGGAAAATTTCGAAGTTCAAAAAAATTTTCAACACGAAAAATCATCCAACTTCCATTAGGAAAGTTCTAGAAGACCCTAAATTTCCGCTCCAAAAGGACATGTTCAATCTGCTCAGTTTTAAACGCTACTAATTTGTCAAAACGGTCACTCTGCAACTTTTGAACTCGCCTATCGTTTTAGACATTAATGGATTTAGGTGCTTCTGGACGGCAAACAATTGGCGAAGCGGGTTTGCCTCAGCTAAGTTTGGAATGATTATGTACTTGATATTTGCGTTGCTTCGAAGAGTGCAAAACAAGATGGTTTCAATATTCGAGCTAAGACAGGGTATAAAACAAAACAGTTCACTTCTGGAAAAACTCGACCCTGTTTTCCAGAATTGAACTGTTTGCTTGCTGAATTTTTCCAAAAAATGTGTGAATCGAGGGGGACCGCCCTGGAAGAGAAATTTCTCGCCGTGATTTCGATCTTCATATTAAAGCTGTAGAGGTTGCAATCTGTTTTCAAAACGTATTTTATGATTAACCTAAAAAATTTTTTTTCATAATTTATATGAAAACGCCTGAAAATGCTTGTTTGAATGTTTAAATTGAATGCGGTTTCAAATTGTATGACCAAAGTTACATCACTTAATTAAATTTGTATCAGAAGAAAAAACAATTATTAGAATCACATTTTTTTTTCAAACAAATTTTGTATTTTTATCTTAAGCATTTTACCCAGGGGCGGATCCAGGATTTTTTCGAGGGGGGGCGGATTTTCGAAAATTTTGACGCCCTTTTTTTTTTAGGTCGACCAAATTGATTTTCCGAGCTCTTCTAAAGCATTAAAAGGTCCCTGTTTTTGCCAAATTTTCTGCGCCGCAGGCAAATTTTTGAAAAAACAGGTCAAAAAAGCCGTTTTTAGGCACTTTTTGAAAAATTTTGACAAAAAAATTGCGTTTTTTTGGCGCGCGCTCCCCCTCAAAGTTAGTATATATTGGCGCCGATGGCGCCTTTAGAAAAATTTTAGGGTCGGTCGGCAAAAATGGATTTTTTAAAAAGTACCAAAGGGGGGACCCTTTGGGTCGGCAGGGGGTCGAATCCCTGAGGGGGGGCGTCCGCCCGCCCCCTAAATCCGCCCCTGATTTTACCAGCTTTAGACTTTTTTATAAAAGTGATAAGAAAAATCAAAAATCCTCAAAGTTGATTAAAAAACTGTGACGAAAAATTGTGTTTTTCATGAAATCAGTTCTATTGACAGTTTCGAGACATATTGTTTGTCAGCTTTCTTTCCCCGCCAGGTTATCCCACTCCAAAGTAGCTAGAAGACATAATAGCCCAGGACGAAGCAGCCCACGCAAAATTGAATATCTCATCAGAGGATCGAAGCTAACAATATATTGCAATTTGCTAATCAGAGGAGTTATAAACACGATAGCCGGTCGATGAAGTGGCATTCAGTTTCAAAATGGATACCGCATTTGACCAAACTGATCAAAGCGATGCTTGAAATAAAAAGCAATGCCTGACAACGTGCATGAAGTAAAATACAATTGTAAGCACAGTATTTAACCCACATTTTGTCTACTTGTTTGTAGCAAACAAAGCGTACAAGCTTGATTTCGTATGCTCACTTGGCGTGAAGCTTAAAGCATAAAACTCTTTTATCAAAAGATCAAACAATCAATTCGCGGTGGATTAAAAACTTTGGTTCAAAATTCATAAAAACGCACCCTAAATCAAAAAGAATTTTTAATAGGGTAATTGGCTTGTGGCGGGATGACAGAAAAGCTATTAAATTTTGTTGTTTTGTCATCCATCATCTCCTGAAAAATGCTAACTTTGAGTCTTGTAAGTCTAAAAAACTTGATGCTTGGAAATTGAGGTAAAATTCATAAAACTGCCGACAAATTGTCAAATTATGTCAAAAGTTTGACCAATTTAAATCTGAGAGAGAGTCAATTGAGTTAAAGCTTGAGAGCAATAGAGTTTAGCTTAGTTTTTGTAAAAGTTAATTGTCATCCAGTCTTTTTCCTTGGGTTTTTAAGGTCTGATTTGTGGAACCACTGCTTGTTTCCAGAAAATTGAGCTTCTGGTTGCAGGAGTCGAGCGAGGGGTAGTTGCCCTGAAGAAGCAATGACACGCCAATATGCTTGCCTTGAACTGCATAAGTTGTTCAAATAGGTCAGTCCTCGGCGTTTTGCATAGTCATCTCAAAGAGCTGGAGAACCAAGGTTGCTTTTAACAGCCACTTTTTCTCCTTTAATTTAGTTTTTGAATCAGCACCTGTGTTCACTTGTATTTTCACCTCAGTGTAATCAATCACGACATTTCCGCATGTGGTGGCTATGCCGATGAGATTTGATGCGAAAACATTCCCACTTGCTGTTCTCAGAGCTTTCTAATTCCCCTCTGAGAACCGACCCCTATCAGCATGATGGTTTAGTCCTTAATAGTTCGACTGTTACCTGCGTTAATGTTGCCTAACTTAATTTAACACTTTTGTTGTAAAGTGTCCTATCTTATCACATGAGTTACATTTCTTACCCATTGAAGGGCAAGGATGATCCCCGTGCACTTTTACTTCGTAGTTTGGACATTCCGATATAAGGGCATTGCACTTTTTTTTATTTTTCCCTGGTTTTCCAAAGGTTGACTTAGAAATTATTGATTTTTTTCTTTAATTTTAGCCTCAGATGTACCAGCAAAACGCTGTGTTTGATCGCTTAAGTGTAAAACAGTTTTCACCTCAGTGAGACTTATGCCTGTTTTAACTCTACTTGCCTCAACAATTTGAGTTTAGAGTTTGCTGATCTTAGTCCCGAGATGAACTTCATTCGTATCATATCGTCTTTCAGATCAGCGGTGTCTTAAGTTTCGAAAGCTCACAATACCGAGCAGCTTCACAAAGTCTTGCAAGAAAGTCGTCGTCAGACTCTCCTGGATTATGAAGTATCGATAGTAAGAGTGCTCGTTCAGTAAAGACCACATATTATCTGGGTCTGCAGTAGCCTTATACCACAGTGTGGATCTCACTAAATGTCATCTCGCTGAGATTTTTTTGGCGAAACAAGACTCCTCAACTTCAAGGTTGCCTGCACTCTACATTGGCTGAGGCAGAAAATTGTCCTCTGGAGGTCTGCGGCAATCGTTCGGTCTGCAGCCTTGTCGATTTTTTTTTCACTGAGCGTGCTCTCCAAAGGGAAGCAACCAGCCAAGCCATTGCCTCTCCAGGTTTCGAAAGATGAGTTATTGGATTCACTCATTTCAAGTTTCCAGTCTTGACACAACTGCTGTGGATTGATGCAAGACAAAATTTGTTCTGAAGATTTTATAGAGATTGATGTTAACGATAAATTCAGTTGGTATTTTTCGTTGTTATCGAAGGAAAAAGTACACGAAGGAAAAAATGATGTCATTAGGGACAGATACATTTTTGTTCACGTATTCCCTTTTTGGTAACTTTTTACTAAAATTACATTCAACACATACAGCATCTCATTCATATAAAGTGTTTAAATTCATCTCCAAATATATCATGAATTATGGGAAAATTTACATAGGCCAAGGGTCTTGTTTCAAATCAAAGGCAATCACAAGCTTTTGCAGTGCCGAGGGCATCGAAACAGTTTTCTCGGAGGTAAATGATCAGAGAGCAATTGGATGTGTTCATTGTTTAAAACGGAGCCTAAAGAATTTTGTACTTACTCATTTAAAAGAGTAAAATCATGGTAGCCTAGAATTTATGGTGGAGCGCGCCCTCTGAGCTTTACGTTTCGCACCAAAAGCCACACATAAAATTTTCCTATTTTAGGCTTATTTTGGCAGAGAAGCCAACACGATGTTACAAAATTTGACTTGAAAGCCTTCACCAAAACAACCAAATTGAGACAATGTAATTCGAGAAAAGTTGCGTGCTTAGGCAAAGATGATCCTCAGGCACAGAAATTGCCACATCCTGCTAAGACCAACTGGAACGCAAGATCTGACGTGAAATACGACCAGGAAAAAAAATTCACCCACTGCGGGTGACAGCGAACCTGGTGAAATGCCCACCGAGGCGGTAAGTGGGGGAAAATCAAAGGCCAGAGGACGGGCCAGCGGCAGATCGGAACTGTTGTTCCTCCGAAAAAGGAAGCAAGAAAGCAGGTATCAATTTTACAAAAAAAAAGTTGCCTGCGAGTTTAAGCACACAATCTTATTAAATAACTGGTCTGCGCTTTAAAAAAATGGCGTCACCGCTAGGAAGGGTGTTCTCAAAATGTGCCCAGCCTGCTTACAATAGCAAAGTTACGCAGCAAAATAGAAGCAGAATTCAAACTTAACCCGACATCAGGCAAATGGACAACTAGGGGCGGAGTATGGTTTCAAAAAACGTGGGAGGATGAAAACTCCAATTCCGCATCCAATTGCGAGCCCGCGTTGATGCCTTGCGAGGTAGAGTAGTGCGAAAAGGCCAAATAGAGTGGACAGGGTCTAGCGGAGCGAAATCTTGCATTGGCGATACGGCAACGCCGAGGGAAAACACGGATGCACTGGGGGAGGCGAGAGGGAATGCGCCGGGGAAAAAGGACTTAGTAGCCCAGCACGAATCGGATGAGAAAAACCCACGGGTGAGCGGCGACGCAGCAAGACCGAAGGAGAAAGAAGAGAGTATAAAGGCGGACCGACCGCTAAAACAAAGGTTAGAATCCTTTTTCAATCAAGATTTCAAAAAGCAGGACAAAACAAGCTCGCGAAAAAACTCAAGGAACCGGAACGCGGTGTCAAATATTGGGGCCATAATGATCGATAACGTTACTAATGAAGGGGTGAAAAAGGGGGAAGCGCGGAAAAAGTAAGAAAGGGAAAACAAATGCACTAGACCGAAATGGTCTATAACTCTTGAGCGAAACTTTTGGGCTCAGAGAAGGGGCAATTGCTTAGGTCTAAAGACTCAATTTATTTTAATTACAGTAATTAATTTTTTCAATTTGCACTTCAAACAGAACTGTGTAACAGGGAATGCTATACATATAAGTTTATGTTAAATTGAGTTCAGTTCTTGGTAATGACTCTTGATTTACTGCTGAATGATTGGAACCTGTTAACAGCCACAACTTGAGTCAGATGGTGCTAAAACCTTGAACGAATTTTATAGTTAAGAAGCGAATTGCTTATTTCTATTTGACTTGCTTTTGATTTTACATTATCGGATTTGCATTTTTCGCAGCTTTTTATTTTTCAATGTTTTGCTACAAATTTTAAATTTCTTGATACAATGCGTCACACAATTATTTGAAATTATAATACGTCAAAATTTGAAGGTGCGGCTCGCCAGTTGTTGAACATCTCGCCAGATGACTTTTATAATACAGAGGGTTACAAAGATATCTAAAAATTTTATACATTTCCCAGAGATTTGTATCCGTTGCTAGCGGATAGGAAAAAAACAAGCTAAAGTGTTTCAGTAGCATTTTTATAACCAGCAAAAGTAAGGATATTAAAAAAACACTTGTTCCCGTTCAGCCACTAAACCTTTTCCGTCTGGCTATTTTTCAATTCTTGTACTGCCAAAAACAGGTGCCTTTAATCCTATCCCAACCTCTAGTTTTAGAAAAAGAAATATACCTTTACGTTTTAAACTCTTTCGAAATTTTGTTTTAAGAGCAATTTTTCTCCTTTTTCATATACATTTGATCGAAAGTTTCAAATCATTGTTCATTCATACCATTAGCTTTTTTTGGCTATTTAGCGTAATGATAATACCATGATTGTTTTTACATTACGTTTGTTTTGGCTACTCTAATTTTTTAAAGTAATAAACAGTGAACAACAACGCTGCCATTTTTTCGTGCTAAAATATTTTCAAATCTAGAACTTCATTGTTTTACTAATGCATTTTATACGTGTAATACAAAAGAATTCATTTATCAATCAAACTAGAGTCTTCGGTGTTCAAAGTCTCAGAAGCTTTTTTTTCTGCATTCAAGTAAATTCAATTGAACTTGGTGAGTCATCTAATTTTTACTTAGCCTGCCAGACAATGTTTTTCTTCGATTGTTTAGCCGAAATTTAGTTTCATCACTAGTCTGTTAAATCAGGGCAAAGTCTTAGGAGCAATCTGGATTTTCAAAAGTATTTTCAAGATTTTGTTGACTTTTTTGGTCGATTAATTTGTCTTTATCTAGAACCAAATTTAAGTTTTAATTTTTGAGTAATGTCAAAAAATTGTTTTTTTTTTCAAATGTATTTAGATTAGTTCGCGTTTAGCACCAGTGCTTAGTGTAGAAGGTTGAGCAGGAAAGAAGGTTGAGCACGATGGGTTGTGCTCCATCTAAAGGGAACACGATAGCAGTGCAGCCCGCAGTCACCCCCAGAGCCCATCCAGGGGCCGCGACAACTACACCACATGCGCACCCACCCATTACCCCTCCTCTAGCAATACACGCCAGGTCAGTTTAAAAATGACTCATTGGTGACTCACACGGTGAGTAAGGTCCTATCCAAAAAAGCACCCAACGTATGCAAACCTCATGCGCATCAGAACTATTATATAACATCAAAGGTAAACCTCAAACCTGTGCAAAGCTCAAACGTAAATAATTTCATAGCTAATTATTTACGATATTCACTTTCATAATTGAATTCATCTATCAACATTGACATTGCTGCAAAACCGAGAAATTGAGATGAAGATTCAAAGATTGATTAATTGTTAATGGTATTGGCAAAACTTACAAGCTATTTTTTAATTGCCCAGCTCCCTGATTTTTGCTGAAAAACGATTTTTGCTATAATAAATTATTCCAAGACATTTCAGTGCGAACTCAGTGAACGTACTTGAACCAATTTTTCCTTATGTAAATTGCGGGTGAAACGATTTTCAGACACCTTAATGTAAATTTACGAAATGGTGGGAAACTCTAAAAGATCCTCCAACTGACATATACTGCCATGTTTAAGGGGCAAAGGCAGCAACCCACTGGATGAAAGGCGTCCCCTGCCTGCGATCGGAGGGGGAGGGGGAGACCACGTAGCCCCCCTTGCCCCCTTGACAACCCGGAAGAGTTCCAACTTGACCACAGTGCCCGAACAAGATGAAGCCACTCAGCCAAACCGGATATTGCCTAAACTAGACGTGAATGGTAATTATCAATTTTTTTCAATTTGTAAAAAATCAATTTGTTCAAACACCATTGTTTTTGTTCTGACCATTCACCAACCGGTGGGAAGGAACTATGGCTTAGGTAGCGTTTTTTTTGCGGTTTAAGTACGTTAAAAAATCTTAAGGCGGCATCGAGAAGCTCAAAATTTTGAATCATATTATCTGAAATTTCTGAACCATATTGAATCATTTTTAGTCGCCTTTCAAGAACTTACCAGAGTTCGAAAAAATCGTTTTTACTATTTTATCTAATTTAGAGCTCAGTTTCAATTTATTCGTTCTAACCAAGAAAACGGCCCAAAACGAAAATGAAATTTTTTTCTGAGAAAAAATATTGTTTTCTTGAATAGTTTTTTGAGTTTTTTACAGCATTTTTTCTGTTCGATGGTGGTTATGGACATTCTGTTCATTGGTCACAGCGTAAGTCAACTACCTCGGCCCGATGTGCTATTTGCACAGCAAACGGCTATTCGTGTTAGAAAAGGATTTGTATTTTCAGCCATGGCCTCTGACGCGAAGGAGAGCGAGAGTAGCAAAGACGTGAAACAGACGCAGAGTTCCGTCGCCTTCACTTTCGACTTCGGGGACTCAGCGGATGTGAAGCCCGTCGGCAGACTGCCCCCACTCATTGTGAGTTAACGAAATCCAAACATGCTTATCGGCAAGGGCGTTTTTTGGCAGGAGGGGCGGGGGATCGTCAAGTTCCTTTGATACTGTTTGATGACATCCAACAGTAAAATTTTTTGGAAAACCATTATTTGCCAAATTTTAAGGGACGCTGCGCTCCAAAAAATTCAATAATTTGATGACAAACTTCTAAAAAGTTTTGCTTGCAGAGCTTGAAAAATGAACTTGATTCATAAAAAAAGACAACCAATACTAACATTTTTCAGTCAAATAACCCAATAAAACTCGTTTTGTTGATTATATAAAAAAGTATTTCTGCGTTGCTTTTCAGAGAGAGAAAACGATGCGCAAATCAACAGATGCGGATGATTTGCAGAGTAGCATTAAGAAGAAGCAGCAGCTAGCAGATGACAGGCGACAGAATGAACTGGTGAGCAGAGAAAAGGCTATAGCCCCCCTCCCTAATTTTACTAGCTCGGGGTGGGTGGGTGGGGGGAGGGGGGTTAGTTAGTGGGAATTAGCCCAGTGAAGCTCACTTAATGACATTCTATACAAAATCCTTTAAAAAATGCATGCCAGCCAATACATGATGTAAGAAAGAGCCCAAAATATGACTACTTGCATGTTGTAAGTAGATGAAGATGTATTAAGTCATCAGGAGCTGATTTTGAATTTTCCCGATGGGGGTGGTTTCAAAAATAGTGAAAATTTTGTCGACATTTGCTGATAATGTTTGCGCCAGTTTTGAGCAGTTTTTGGACGGCTATGACAATGCAAAAAACTGTAATTCCTTGACTTAGAATTAACAAAAAGCACTTTTTCAGAACTCGATTGCAGGCAAGAAAAAGCGACGAAAGTTGAAGCTGAAGTCGTCGAAATTATCTGAAGATTCCTCTAGTGACGCCGGAGGACAAAGAAGCGAAGTTGTGCCTCCACTGGACATTTCCAGATCGCCAGACAAGGTTGGGATCACCAGACGATTTTAACCGGCTATTCTCATGACAGACGGAATGCGCAAAAAATTTTAACCAGCCATAATTTTTTAAGCAAAACAAAACTGAAGTTTTTTTTTATTATTCTGCCTTTTTTGAGACTTTTGAATATTGAATTCTGGTTTGCTACCATAATTTTTGGACATTCGGTTCTTCTGAAAAAAGCGATTCCCTCTTTTAGTGATGTTACTGTGTATTGAATGTTTCAGAATGGAAGTCCATCAAGCGAAGTAGCGGCCCCCAACAACCGATCGCTCATTTCAACAAGCAGTAAGTTACTTAACAAACTTTTTGCTTCTTAAAGTTTGCGATATCGCGCAGCGGCAAAAAAACGGATAAACCAAAAACACTGTTTTCCGATCATTTAAGGTGCTCAAGCTTACCAATTTTGCCACGAATATGGCAATAACTAAGACAAAGCTATCAGTTGACTCAATTTTGTTAACGATTGTTGAACTATGAAGATTTTGTCACCTATCTGACATTAACTAAATAACATGAAGATAGGCAAAAAAGGCTTTAGTCCTACCAACACCCCCCCCCCAATGAGATTTTTTATATGGTCTAATGAGCGTTTTTACAAGCTTACGTATAAAGCACCAAACATGCTTGTCATGACCTAATTAGTCCGCATGTCAACTTTCGTAACAATCGAACTATGTTAACACTCATTCACTTGTAAAAATTCACAGGTGGAGATGAAAAGAAAAATAACCTGAAGTTGTTTCAGCCCCCGTGCGAGTGTTGTCCGAGGAGCAGGGGGAAGGAAGAGATGAAATAGAGAGGAGGAAGGGGTCTGCCCATCATGACTCCACCTATGGCAGCGAGGATGAAAATGGTCGACATTCTTCAACCAAAATATTTACTATTCAAAAAATACCACTGGCTGTACCAGCTTGTGATAATCAAGTTTTAGCAATTTTAGCTTATATTACGAACATATTACGAACATATCACACCGTTTTTGATTTATTTTTTGTTCAGATTTTTCACGAAACCTTTCGACAACTAAGAAATGAGTCACCTTTGAAATTCTTGATTAGAGATAAAACTTCAACCATGAAAACGCGATCTAACTCTAAGGGTTTGTTAATTTTGCCAGCTCTCAGCCCTAACCTTAACGTAATGACTGAAGTTGGGTTCAAGTCTTTCTTTAAAAAAATCAGTAGGCTTTACATAATAGACAATGAAAGTATGTTTTCGCTGTTTTACCATCGGTAACTCCTAATTTCAGTGCCCTACCGTTTGTTTCTAGGTACCTAAAGGGATGCTACTCGAAAGGTTGAATTACCTGTATAGCAGTCCTGATGTAGATTTATTAAACCTGTTTGATCAAAATGATGTGTGTCAAAATTTTATCTGCATCAAATTCAAATTCAATTCAATATTGATTCAATATTAAGGGTGAACCTTTACACTAAAATCGACTGAAAAGCAAAAAAAAACAAGTTTTAATTCAAATTTAATATAAAAAAGTCAAGTTTTTATCGATACAGAAAATTTTTTAAAGAACTTTTATGAAGATCAATTAAATAATAACTGAAAAAGCTCTTATATGATAACTAGAACCGATCTGACTTTTATTTGTAGTACTTGTACTTAAGGTTGCATGGAAATTATAGGAAAGAAAGACCCTTTTACAAAAGTCCTCCGCATTTTCAGGGGGTACATGTTATTAGTCTCCATGAATGGCATCATTTCAAACCACTGAAACACCTCATTTTTTCTAGAAAATCAGTCTCGCGTAGTTGACCCTCTCAGACGGTTCTCTCGCAACAAGAAGACAGCCCATCAACACCAGGAGAGAGACGCATTCTACAGTGATGAAAACGTGAACCCTATGGAAGCGGCTCAGTTTTTTGACGACGACAGTGAACAGTTTTGACCCCAGATGAAAATACTATAATAAAACACTATATCTTGCAGCTGATGCAATTAAATCTTTTTTAAATGAAAAAGTTCTTTAAATTTATACAGCTGTTTTTTATTTAACATCTAAAATTGCAACAGTGGTTGACAAATTTGTGGAGCTTTTTTGATCATTGCTTTGCGAAATGTTATTGGGTATGCAAGTTGACAAACGTTCATTTTAAGGCAAAAATTAGTTTTGCATTCCTAAACCTGCTATCGCCAGCGGATTCTTGAAATAAGCGTTAATGTATGAGTTTTTATTGGACTGAGCTATCGAGAAGTATCAAAATGAACGCAATTTTAGTGCTTCAGTCCTAATTTTTGTTCAACGAAAGATTTCATTTAAAAAAACTGACGAAATCTTGAATTAATCATTTTGAGTCAAAAGCATTGGGACCTTTTTAACTGAAGCTCATTGTTTCCGAAAAAAGAGAGGTCAATTACAAGCAAAACTTGGCTTTATTGCCAAAAAAATTTTCTGCTAATTTTGATCTTGTGCTAAGACAGACCATTTAGCAAATAGGAGCGTCTAACGGTTAGAATTGTTGAAATTTTTCAATTATTCGGTCTTCCATTATGAGAACAGCCCCTCTTGTGATAGATACATCACAACCAATGGCGTTAACTTCTTGTACCACTTATCGAAATGGTTTCAGCCTAATACTTTTTTCAGTAGAAAAAAAATAAAGAAAATTAGAGTTCGTAAATGTATAACCAAATGTTCGTAAATGTTTTTGAATGCAATATTGCTCAGAGGATCGCAAATTTTCAGCAAAAAAAAGCTAAATGACAGAAGAAAAACTATTAAGAAAACTTCAGCTTTGAGCGTTGAAACAGATTGCTAGTGCTAGAAGGTTTACCTCGGAATCAGACAGTTCCAACGAAAGCAGTTGAAGTGATCGAAGCATCGCAGATTTTAGTTTAAAAAATTAGATCAGCTCGAATAAAAAAAAATTAAATCATTAAAATTCAATTAAGTGTTTGACGCTTTTAACTTTTTGGTTCTAAATTTTGTACTCATTTAAAAGTATAGTACCGCCAGAGGCGGAGCAATAAGCTGAATGTTCTAAGAGCAGAAAAAAATAGAAAACTATAAACTTTAATTGACGTAATTCATTAAAAATTATTAGAATCGTCAATAAAACAAAAAAAAATGAATAAACTTTGCATGAATGGAATGTTTTCATCAAGCTTCTTAATAATTTTTTGAAAGGAAAATCTCAATTAAACTACTCAAATTATGCATGAAATGTTTTTTGCTTTGGTAAAGTTGACAATTCTGATACTTAATTCACCGGTTAGCGTATAAAATTTAAAGTTTTTCTGTTTTATTGGACTCCATCTGCTTGGACCCGTTCTGCTCTTAGACCATTCTGCTTATTGAACGGCCTTCGGTCCCGCCGTAGCGATGACTCCCATTTAAAAGCTTGTTTAGAAGTGTGTTGCCGCCAGACCACTTGAAATATTAATAAAGCACTTCAAATGGACAAAAACAAAAAATGTAAATATTTCTTTATTGGGCTAGCCACATTTATGTTTTTTGAATGGAATTATCAAAAAAAGCAAAGCATTGAAAATACTTAGACACTACCTTTAAAAACTTCTATGTCTGACTTTAACATGCAACCATTGGTAGTTTTACGGAACCATACTTCTAAATCGTGTTTTTAACGGACCATACTTGTTAACGAGTATCTAAATTTTCTTGCAACAAATAACAAAATTGCTTTCACAGTTGGCAGTCCTAATGTTTGTTAAGTTCTTAAATCTGACAGCTTCCTGTCGGAAAATTTTGTTTTGATCGTAAACAGATATCCGTTCGCATTATAACAAAAATGTGAAAAAATTATTTGCTAATAAGTGTGGCACTGAAAACAGGTAGAATAAATAAAAGCATTAACCAAAATCTATTATTTTAACCCATATGAAACCATATTATTTTAACCCATATAAAACCATATGAAATCTATTATTTTAACTTTCAGTAACAGAAGTTATAAATTGGTCTTTCCATGAAAATTATGTTAAAACAATTACTGTAAACTTGGAAAAATTTTGAAGCTAGTTTTTCAGTCGAAGTAAAACGAATCGAAATAACAAAATGTAATTAGTGTGTTTCATTTTGCATCTCTTGCCACACCAATCAAAGCCATAACAAACAGAGAAAAAACGTACATTAAGTAATTAATTGGAAAAATCAACGCAATCTTTGAGACTTCAATCCTTAAAAACTCCCGGACAAAAAAAACAAATTGATGCTGCTATTAATGAGGTATATTTGATTAATGAGTGCTTACAAAACTAATGCGCCAAACAATGCTTACAAAACAACGATTGCCTACAAAAAATCTATTGAACTGCAACTACTGAGATCCGAAATATCATTGACCATTCTGCCAGCTGTGGTTTGTCTGTCAGATATAATTGCTAAATGCCAAAAAATTGCATTTAAATTACTTGTCTCCGCCACGACAAATTTCCTGATTAAACTGCGTTGAAAAATAATTCATGGTCACAAAAGATACATGAAAAACTTTTCATTCACCATTTTTGTTAATAGAGAAACCGTATATATCGTTTGCAAAAAAAAAACTTATTTAGAAGAAAAACTTATTATGTCGCAAAAAGTAACTAAAATTTCAACTTTGAATATATTTTGCCGTTTTGACCACTTCACGACTACAAAGTTTCTACGGACTGCGATGGCACTGTTCGCACAGTTATTTTTTACTCGGGAGAATTTTGCAGAGCACCAATTGTGATATCTAATCAAAGCCCTTCCAACACGATTCTGAGTACAAACTGTTAGCAAGGATAGCCGGTTTCTGTGAACTAGCACAGAATGTTCTTACCACATTTATTAAAAGATAAATAAAAATTGTTTTTAAAAGATGTTTTTAAAATTTTGCGCTGGAAAAGTTCTAAATTAAAACTAGAAATCTTGTTTAATTTAGAATGAAACTTAGTTAATTTAACGTTAATCGCTTGCTTTACTCGCTCGAAATTGGATGAAAAAGGAAAATTCTGTACTCGAAAAATTTCAGATCACTTCTCAAGTAAATCAACATGATATAATACTCAATCTAACTGACAATTGTTTTTGCTGCCTGGTATCGTTCTATCATGTTTTATCATTGTTAAGGCATTTTTCTAGCTGTTATCAATAAATTCTCAATTTGCAATACTTTTTTTTTGAAATTATACGTTTTTATTTAAGCTATACGTTTTTATTTAACTAAATGCTAGTTTTTGTAGCAATAAGCATAATGCTATAAAAATTTTCACCGCCCGCCATGTTCAAAATTTCATAGAAAAATTATATTGGTTTCAAAAACCCCCAGGCAAGCTCTCAGACTAAGGCAATCCAGGCAGGTCTCTAAACAATTATTCAAAAATTTAAAAACTAGGTAAATATAAACGTTATCGATAACATATTTAATTCAACCCCCAGAACTTTTCTTAGCAGGTGTTTGGTCATGTAAATGGATAAAACAGTTACTAAATTCGGTTTGATACTGATTTTTTTGATAAATCTCTTTTTTTTTAGCTAAACCACACCATTACTTGGCACATATTCTAGCAACGGGAAACTTTGATTAATAAATTCCATTTACCTGTTCAATACTCACTTCAATTCGATGTTTTGTTAAACGACATGTTATGTTTTTGCATGGTTTTTTTTCTGGTTTTCGTTTGCTAGAGCATTTTTGTTTCATTAAACAAAATTTTTCTATCAATAATTCTGCAGGAAAAATGTTGTTGTTCAAAATTAGTTAACGTCATCTTTAAATTTTTTCTCATGAAGCAAAGTTTTACACACCAGTTAACTTGGCGACTCAAACGCTTGACCTTTTTTGTTTGTTATCAGTTGAAAAAAAAACACTCCATTTTAACTAGCGTGGTTTCAATAAAATAAAACACATACAGCGCTGAACCTTTGTTTTTCAGTTCCTCATTTTCAAAAAATGTAGAACAAAATGGTCCTGAAATTTACTTATTCTGATTTTGTCTATTCTGTCTGCATTAATCATGTGTTCATTCTCTGACAAATATTTCACAAAACAGAATTTATATCTTCTGAGTTAGTTTTAAAAACATGCTAATACTTTCCCGCAAAAAAACATAATGACTCATCTACAAATTGAGTGGTTTGAACAAAAACTTCCCAGTTTAATTTTACTATTACCGGACCAAGCACTGTCATTTACCATACACTAAGAGGTAGAGTAGCCTAGGAAGTTCAAGGAATTTAGACAATCAGTTCCATCAGTGCAAGGATAACAGTTCCCTTGTGTTTGAAAAACAATTCTCACGTTTTTTACTCAGAATTTCGAGGATTTTACGCTTTGAATCAGTTTCCTCGCAAAAAAAAACTAAAACAAATGTTTCCTGCTCTAAAATTATGTGCGTAAAACATATCGGGTTGTTTGCTGTTGTTTTTACTATCGAGTAATACAGTGAATTTATTTTATTCGATCCTAGAAGGAACAAAAATAATTGTACAGTAGGGCAAAGCCCTGAATATTAGCACTTTCTGGTAATCGGTATCGATTAGTTACTGGTAAAGGTAAAGATCAAGCCTCATGCGAGAAAGTTCCAGTAATATGAAACATTTACGATCAGTGAGCCGGTTGATTTAAATTAAGGTGAGAAGTTGAAAAGGGGAAACATTAGACGGGTTTTTCGCATATTGGGACACAAAAGCGAAACTGAGCTTCGCACCACTTGCGATACAAAAACGAATTACTGTGAATAAAATCAATTGAAAGAAAAAAAGTAAAACTAAAAAAATTGTTTTTGTCATATAAATTTATGAAAATCACAAAAAAAAAAAAAACTTGTGGATCAAAATTACCTGCATCATTAAAATTATCACAAAGAGCTTTCCAATTGCAAAAAAAAAATCAAAAATTTCCGAAAACTCCTTTCTTTGGGATTTAAGCCGGCAAAAATAAGCAGACAGTCAAAAATCTAATGAAGACGCTTTTTTTGCAATTTGAAAGTTTTCGTCTAGTTTAGATTTTTGTATGTTCGTCTACTTATTTTTGCCGGCTTAGTAAGATAAAAAGGCTACATATTAGGCTACATTCAATTTACTCATCAGTTGACCTTGTGCTTTTGGTGTAATTTTTGTTTTACTGAAAGGAACCAAAAACTTTTGGTTCGAAGCTCGAAAATTTAATTGCACCACATCAACCTTGATAAATTATCAAGGATCTTTGTTAAGATAATTTTTGTCAAAAACACCAACTTAATACAAAAAACCGTTCAGAAACTATAATTTTGTTCAATTTGTCCGGTTGATTTAAATCAGTAGTGTAGTTTGCCTGAATTCAATTTGGAAGCATTTTGTATTGCGGAATAAATCGTCACGCATAAATTAAATGAATGGCATTACAATTTCAGCAACATAAAAGAAACTTTCACAGCGAGCAAAAGTTGCTCCAAAGGATGGCAAAATGGCCATTTTTAAACCACCAGAGTTTCTAAGTGGTGTAAAAAAACTTTGGTCAAAACTAACATTGCGATCGCCAAAAATTGAGCCAAATAATACAAACCCAGCGTAAATATTGTATTTCTTCAGTTGGAACAAAACTTGATTCGAATTAAAATTATTTTCATACTGCAATCAAGATATCTTGAGTCTCACACACTATCAACTCAGCCACGCAAGCTTAACAACTTACCCACACTAGTCACGAATAAAGCTGCTTTTTATGCTAAAAAAATTGCCAATGCCATTCAGCAAAAGTGACACCAAATACAAACAGATTCAATTTTTCAAGTAATAATTTGGATTATGTTAAACTGAAGGCATCCACACTAACTTTGCATGCAACAAATCGCAAAGCATAGTCACATTAAATATAATTTATGCATTTCAAAAAAATATTTGATGAATTAAACATGCATCAACTGTGTTAACTTATTACTATTCGAATGTCAAAGCCCATGCTATGAAAAGCTGTAAAGGTGCTTCAAAAGTGGCACCAATATTTGCGACTTAGGTAGGGAAAAAAAACGGTTCATACTAAAACTCTCGCTGCGCAAGTGTAACACAGTCTGTGTTAATATCCTTAGCCTTGCCTGTATTTAATAGCTGGTTAATGATTTAAAAAAACGCTTTCAGAAAGAACAATTTTTGTCGCAACAATATTTGCGACTTAGGCTGAAAAAAAAGATAATTCATACTATCACAAGCTTTGCTTGTGTAAACATAGCCAATTGTTGAGTTTCAAAGAAAAAAATAGTTGGCCATAAAGCTCTTTGAATTTGTGGAACACTTTATAATGGACACGTTTTTGCTAAAATTAACCCAATTTGAGAAAATTTGAATAGGTGAAACTTTTCTTTCTCTGGGAAATCTGATAATTAATTTCCATTTTCCATGTTAGAAGTCGATCATGTTTTTCGTGGCCTTTACACTTCTGCTGTTCAATAGTCGAGGTTGCCTTCCTTTTATTTATGGAAAAGCACTGAACTTGACCAGAAGTCACAAGTCAAACCGCGAAAAATCAAAATTGATTGAACAAATTTTAAGACTTTCTGAAAAAAAATGGCGAAGACCTATATAAGAGTACTCACTACGTTCATTACTCCTAACAAGGCGTTATTCTTTTACAATATACTTGTTACTCACGGAAAATACAAAAATTACAGATTCCCGCACAGAAAACCCAGTAAGTACTAAACAGCTTCAACTTAAATCGAGCCAACAGACAGGTGTAAAACAGACATGTGTAATAGAGATAACTTGATAAAAAAAAGTAACTTTAATTCGGCTGAGAATTTGAAATTTAAAACTTTGAAAGTAAAATACGAGTACTTTTCTCCCACGCTCGGAAAATGTTATTAAGTGCTTGTAAAAAAAACTCGTCGACCAGAAAATGCTGACTAATTCTTTTGAAAGTTTTTAGTAATGCTCTAAAATGTAATTTCAATTTTTCATAATCGACATCAAACTAATGCTCTTTGTACTCCAATAATTATATGATGGATACTTCTTTGATAAACTTAACCCAGTTTGAGAAAACTGGATCAAAGAGGCACATGTTATGGTAGAGCGAAATTTGCCTTCCATTTAACAAATGAATTCTAAGTAAAAAGTTACAACGCCAATTCATAGACTTTAATTGAAAAAAAAATTAAATTTACATTTTTTCCTTTCAAAAAAACAACCTAGACAAGTGAAAACTCGCATGGTACATCAACCCAAAAAAAGTACCAGATGATTTGCTCTGTCTATACAAATTACTGTTTAAAACTCCCGCGACAAAATTGAATTCAATTTATAATTTGCGAGGCAATAAAATATCAAAGGAGTAGATCATCTAATTTACATAGCACCTCGTTTGGTTGAGAATTTTTAAAGTTATATTTATAAACTGGAATACAACTAGTTATCACTCCATCAATGGCAAGTAACCCACGGAAGTTCCTTTTGAAGGTCAATCAAACACCTGCTGAAACTCAAGCTACCTTTAGACTGCACGCTACAAATATTAACAGAAAAACAAAGGTCAAATTAACAAAGTGAGAACTTTGCATGTAAATGATTTGTAGAGCTACAATAAATAAATGAGTGTAGCTTTACGTTAAGGCTTTAGCCAAAAATTCAAATTTAGGTCAAATTAACTCACTTTTGAAATAATTTCATGTCAGAGCTGGGCTGTGACTTTAAATAAGCAGTAAAACAACAAAAAACTGGCAATTGTTTGTGTAAATCAACATTTAATACGTTTTCTTCATCACGAGTCCGGACAGGCTAAGCAGTGTTTTCTTTTTCATTCTTGTCTTTTTCAGCCGCGACATCTTTATCTTTCTCAGCTGAAGGCACATCTCCGAAAGCACTCGGCGCATCTTTCTTCGCCTCGTCCGATTCCTTATCATTGTCGCCTGCAGCTGAAACAGAAACAACGATACACAGACTACTGTGCAAGTAGCACAGAATGTTCCGACCATTGAAAAATGAAAAATATTTAGAGATAAAAATAAGCCAACAAGACCATTCTAGTTTAAAAAAGGAAAAATCCTGTTTTTCTCGACAGTTTTTTTTGATACGCGCAACAAAACGACAAATAAGACTTTAAAAAAATACCACATTTGATAATCTACGAGGTTTCTATGAAGTAGTTTTCAAGTCGTGAACTTCATTATCTTTTTCACCAGATCATAGGATTTGATTTCAACGTCTATCTTTCACATGACACAGTTTTGATTGACTCTTGCATCATTTTTATTGACATAAAATTCTCTGTAGCTATTCCTACATCGGCAGTTAACTTTTTCAACAAATATTAATACTAATTCAGTGTTAGTTGCATATTATTTAATTAAACCCATTACGGACAACTCAAATGCTCATTCAAAACTTACCCAGTTTATCAGCTCCAACCACTTGATCATTCAGAGTATCCTCGTTATTCTGCGAGTCCTTATCTGGCAGCGAAATACTGTTCGAGATATCTGCTTCTTCGTCCTCCTCGCAGAATGCCTCGTCAACCGCCCCGCCGGTCACCAGTCCCGACGGCACGAACGGTGGCGCTGCGCTGTTGTAGCGGGTGGTTCCGCTTATTGCATAGCTCGAAGGCAGTGTACCGTTGAACACGCCCTTCCACAGTCCATAAGTTTTGCCGACGTTGTGTTGCCAAAGACGCACAGTGCCGTCTTCCGATCCGCTGGCGATAAGTTCTCCGTCCGGCGAGTATCGAACGGCATGAATTGGTCCAAAATGACCTCTGAAAAGACAAAAACTCGAATCACCGGATCACCATTTTGAATTAGCTTTGTCGATCAATCATCTCTAACTACTTCTCGTTGATTAACATCAAACTTAAAAAGTCCAATAAAAACCAGTAGTATTTCGCGGTCTTTTGCTGAATGTTTTGCTAAAATGCCGGATTCAATTTCCCAGGGAACTTTGAAAACCCAAATACGCATACCATTTATGACCACTTTCAAAAATATTTATCAAAATTCGAAAAGTTTAAAAACCAATTTCGTTTATCAACTTTAATAACTTATCGAACCGACTGATTTCGAAGTTCTCGGTGTCGAAGGAGGAGTATTTGTAGAGCTTGTGGTCATCGCAACCCAAAGTGACTATGTTCTCGGTTGGGTGATAATCTCCACTTAGCACTCCTGAATTCACTTTGAAGCTCTTCGACACTGATGTTGTCCGGATGTCCCACTCATCCGCCTGGAGTCCGTGGCACAACAACAGACTGTTCTTGGCAGGGTTGAAGCGCATGTCCTTGATGACGTCAGGAAACGTGTGTGTCGACACAATACTTCCTGAGCAAAAAATGTAGCCGATACAATCAAAAATTTATCGATAATTTTATGTTGAAATCATAAAAATTAACTGAAGATCAATCGAAGGCATTTTTAATAACTTTGGCATATAAAAATTCAACGGTTCGAAGAATCGGACGCTCAAAAATTGTCAAAAATTTTGCCGTCAATTAGAAAAAAAGAAGAATTTAGCTGCAGATTAATTGAACGCTAATGGTTGTTTTTTAATGAAGGGCACAACTTTCGACTGCAAACTCGTCCATCATTTAAAAAAATGCGTATTTTCAAAAGAACTTCAACTAACCAGTTCTAAGATCGGTCAAGGTGAGTCCGCCGTCCTCGCTTGCAACATAAATCTCCCTTTCCGAGGGTCCATAGATCACATGACGCGAACCAACCTCAGGACCCTCAAACTCCTCCGGGCTGGACTGAGTGATGCGATCCAGACGGTACATCAAGATATTTTTGTCCTGGCCGCACGTTATCACCCGGTTTGAATTCTTCGACATCGCAACTGACTTCACGATGCCCCTGAATGCAAATACAAACCTTTCATCCATGGAAAAAAAACAATTAAAATTTTGTTTGAGCCCAACAATGGAAATAATTCATCTTTTTCCGTCTTCATATACTACAAAACATGAGAAAGTCTTGAAACTAAGTAACACACTTTAGCTCAGCTCAAACAAATCAATGCGAAACAAAATGATTGGCATGTATGAAGAGAGCTATAATGTTGTTTAAACCTGTTTCATGGTGCAATCAAAGGTTCTACAAGGTTCGTATGTTCAAAAAAAATGATAATTAGTCCAAGTTTTATTTCAAAAACGTGGGGAACGAAAAAAGCAAAGGCACTTGGTTTGCATTGCTTCTACTGTGGGATGTGCTTTGGATGTTTTGGCAATTTTGATTGATCTCAGTTTAGAATAAGATAGCTGATCAATTGAATCTACTTGTGATCAAGTTGGTGGATTTCGTTTCCATTCAGCAAGTCCCATATCTTCACAGTGTGGTCAGCAGAGGCAGTCACTGCCCGAGTGGCGAGTGAGTTCAGAGCAATGGACCACACTGCCCCCTTGTGCTTCTCCAGGGTCCCGATCCAGTCTCCAGTTGAACCCAGTCGCAACATCGCTCGTCCATCTAAATAAAAAACAAAAACATATTCAATTGCAAATTGTTGGCAAAATCTTTTTCGGTCAACGAATCTGAACGTAGTTTATTAATGTAAAACTGCTCACAAATAATGCCAACAGTTTGTCATTAACTATAAAGATGAAAACAAAACTAGCGTAGCCGGTTGCTGTGCACCAATCACAGATTGTTCCACGAACACCTATCTATCATTGCAAAAATTTGATTAAAAAAAGATTTTCTTAAAAGCGAAATGCTAGATTCATATTGTATAGTATGCTTTTACAATATATAATTATCAACCATTCATGTTTTCAAGTTATGATATTTCATAGTTGAAACTAAAAGCTTTAAGATTCTTCAGTAAAAACTTTTTTTTAAAAAAAAAAAACATTTTTTCGATGGACACCAAATAAACCTGATTGTATCAAAAATCATCAAAATTGCATTTAATTTGGACACTTTTATTGACCACCGATTAGGGCTTTTCTTCCTTTTTCTTCCACCTGGCATCAATTTGATTATGTTAACGAGTAGTTTTATAAGGTATGGGTTGTTAAAATATGTTGACTTGTTCACGATTTCACGTTTTATTGCAATTTAGAACATCAAAAGTCAATTTAAATAGGTCTCTGTAAACGAATTTCAGAACAAACTCAAAGTGGGAGAGAAAAATTACCAAAATATGTTTGACATAGCCCATCTAATCCGTATGCTTACTCTTTTAATAATCTGACCCTGGTGAGCGAAAGTTTTCACAGATTCGAAGCTGAGCTTCGCACCACTTGAGATACAACAAAAAGTTTAAAAAAATCGAAAATCTCAGAAAACTAGATCTATCATAATGAATTAGGCTAGTTTTGAAACAAAACATGCCGACACAATATAATAAGAATCGGAAGATAATTTACCCAGCCGTTACAAAACCGAAAATACCTTGGCAGAAACCCTTAAAGCCGAAAAAAAATCAACAAGACTTAAGACTTGAAAAATTATTAAGTCCCTCTCACACTCAAAAAACAAGGAAAAGTCCAAAAAAAGGAAAAAAAGCTGAACAAAAATTCAAAAAAGTTTTAGACGAATAAGAAGTTATTAAACCCCCTGGCCCTCAAAACACAGACACACAGAGATCCAATTTTTTCGCTCGTCGAAAGACGCAATATGAGGCCGATAAGCCTAATATATAGGCCGAAACTTATTAAGCCGAAAAAAAAAGAAAAAACTGTTGTCATGAAAAACTTAAACTATAATTACTATTAAAATTTTTAGCATTTTTGCAATCCTAAGGTGAGCATAAAAAACATGTTTCCAATACAAAAGATGACAAGATTTTAAAAAATGCAAAAAAAAAACAGCAGAGATAAATTCAAATAGGCGATGTAGTTGGATGGTAAGAACAAAGCGGAAACGTCGCTTTAGGTTTATTTTTTGCCGGCTTAGTTTCCGCTTTGTTTTCACAATCCAGCTACATTGTTCACAGATTTCAGCATGCATGCATGCAGTACACAGCATTCATGCAGTATGTGCGTCTATTTGCCATCATTGGTCCATTACTCCCACTGTGCTTCCTTATAAGTGTTTTTCCATTAAATTCGTATTACAAATGTTTTTAATGATAGTTCTTTGGTATTTTTTGAATTTTCGTCGATTTCGGTTTATTTTTGGTCGGATTAGAAGTCAAAAATTCAAAAAATACCAGAGAAATAATATTTAAAAAAATGAAATGCGAGTTTATTGGAAAACACTAATAAGGGCGCACAGTGGGAGATAGACCAGTGATGGCAAATAGACGCACATACTGCATGAAAGTTGTAAACTGCATGCATGCTGAAATCTGTAAACAAATTTGTTAATGGGAAAAGTCTAGAACCCGATTCCAAAACCCTTGTTTATCGCAAGAGTAACAATTAAAAACAAGTAAAAAAGGATCAATTGAGCGATCCCCCCATTTTCGCATGGGTGGGGGATCGCTCAATAGGTACTTGTATGCTGTCTGCATGCAATCGGTAAGCATGTTTACAACCAATTGAATTTAGTTCAATTATTTAAAGCAGATGCCAGATTATCCAACGCTATTTAAAACAGATGCCAGATTATCCAACGCAGGTACTTGTATGCTGTCTGTATGCAATCGGTAAGCATGTTTACCACCAATTAAATTTAGTTCAATTATTTAAAGCAGATGCCAGATTATCCAACGCTTGTGGAACACCAAATTCACATCATAACTTAAACATTAGTCTGAGAGTAAAAAAAATGACCCAATTAATCCTATATTCAGCCGGCTATTTTTCTGTTATAAATGAAAAGTGTGCAATTACTTCGTTTTTAAATTTCCGAAGGGAATAATTTAGGTCTTTAAATACCAAGTTCAGCCCTGGTAACTTGCTTTCTTCCAGGCAATGATCGCCCAAACAAAAAATGAAAAACAAAGAAAACTAGATTTTTTTTTCAAGTTTTTTCTCGACACTAATAAAAACAAACTTCAATCAATCGATTGTCTGCATGCTAACTACACACCAACTCCCTTCTCGCGTTGATTTGATAAAGCCCTAGTTTTGGGCCGTTTTGACTGGGGGAGAAACCTCAAATGTTCCTTACGGGGAAGATCGCTCAATTAATCCGTAAAAAACAGGAGACGGAGGAGAGCTCCGATGTGTTTTGAAACTAAAAAGACTGCTCACTTACCTTTGCACGCACTGGCCAAGAAGTATCCGTCAGCCGTGACGTCACTGAATGCCAAATAGGTCACAGGTCGAGTGTGACCTCTACAGGTCAAAGCAGTCTGCCTCAAATCGTTTAAAGAAGCCATTGCTGTTGGATCTGAAAATTGCAAAGACATTTATCCGCATCTTAGCTTTATATAACAAGGAGGCAATATAAGAAGTTTTCACCTCATACTTAACAACTGCTTTCGTTCAGGACTTGATATAGTGACGCTTTCGGGTCCCATTAATTACGAACTTCTTTTCCGTTCTGCTTCCTATCACTTTTTGATTAATTCTTAGAGCACTAAAGACCTAGGTAGTTTTTAAAGGACTTTTTGGACTTTATTCCCTCACAATTAACAAAATAAATAGTACCATAACACCACAGCAAGGTTTTTGTTTTATGGGGAGGGGGCGCTATTGTGAAACATTGAGTATCGAAAATTACCTGCGAATTTCGAGTGCTAAGAATAAAAAAATAAGTAGAGAACCAAAAAAACTGCGTTTGGTGAGAGAATAGTAAATTGTTCATTGTTGACTTACTTTCTTCACTGTTTGGATTCTTAGCCCTGGACTCGATGCCCGAATCTAGTTCAGCGCGACTTAAATTTTGAGTGCACGAGTTAGAACGGCTACTGGTAGACATGTCTTCAAAGCAAATCGAAGGTGTTCTTACAAATATTTCCTGATTCAAAGAGTTAGTTGACAATGCGCTCATTCTCTGCTAGCAATCACAATGACTTCTAGAGCTTTCCATTGTACTATGAGGTTAAGTTAAAGTCAATGCATCAACCGTTAATTTGACTAATCTTTATTCAAAATCAGAAAGAATATGAACAATCATGTATATTTCCTGAATAATCATGCATAAACACTTTTCCTGAACTAAAATCCAAACTGCTAGATACGTGCGCTGTTTTTTAATTTCGAAGTATTTATCTCGGAAGACCAAAAAACAAGGTCGCAAAATTCGGACTATATTATAATCTAGAGACAGAAGAATTACCCAACAAAATCAATTTATGACAAACCAAAAAAAACTGGTACTTGGGATCAAAGAGAAAATTTGAAAAGGGCTATCCGCCAAATTTGACTATCCACCAAATTTTTTCTCAAACCAGAGTCTCAGTCGATAGCCTCACACTAGCCAATTCTGCTAAAAACCTTCGAAACATCTATACTAAAACAATCGCTGAAGACTACCCAATTTCTAGAAAAGGCAACTTCTACAAAAATCAGCAATGCACACACAGAAAAAGAAAAACGGAAAATAAATGAGAATCACCAAGCAATCTTGTTGTGGCTCTTAAATTCAAATGGAGAGCGGATACAATCAAGGAAACAAGATCATGATCAGCTCACTCAGCCAGAGCAAAAACAGAGCTTGTTACGATTTAACCACTAGCAGATTTAACCAAACACAAAATTTAATCAGACAATCTGTTTTTGAAGTTGTAAAGTTCTAGTTAATTCAGTGACTGAAGAGCCATAAAAACTGTAGAAGTTCAATAACTGCAAACTACTGTTTGCACTAGTTTTGCCGGTTATTTACAAACATAATCGATGTGTTCACTTAAAGGCAAAAATCATCTTCTGCTAAGATGCTTGTTACTTCAAACATTTCCAAAATATTTTATTGTCCTGACTATTGAACTTACGTTATCAGATGATTGATACTGCGATGGAACATTTTCTACAGCTTCTATAGTTTTCTACGACGTTTTTTCTATGCACGGTTCAGTTGCAGGAAGCTTCATACCTTCCGGTTACGCTCTGTTTTACGAAAAAAAAAAGGAATCAACGTGACGTAGCCTCTTCAATCATTTAAATGTGAGCTTTTGAAACACATTACCATGAATTTCGAAGTGCGAAACTCAATATCTAAGCGCTCAAATTAAGTTTTTTTTCATATAAGTCAGTAGTCAAGCAAAACTCGCAATCACAACAGTGATAATAAGTTAAGCCAGCTGATTCAAAGGCTTCCCGAAAAAACATTTCGGCCCAAAAGACGTCCCCCTCTTGTGTTGGAACTTAGTGACATTTAGTACAAATGTCAGGAATTTGAACTTTGAATAAATGCTGAAGGCGTTAGTTGAGCTGTGATGAATTAGATAAATTGTCATACGATTGATGTTTGTACTATTTGTTCGCTTATTTTGAGATTACTGTATAACGACACAAGATCCTACCACCAACATCAAGACCAGCAAGACCAGTTGGTTGGTTTTGCAATAAATTTATAGAACTAATTATTATGTTTTTGTCATCTTAACACCAAGGGGACCCCAGCACGAGCCTAATATGCATCTGAAGAGATTAAAGTCTAAGTGACATATTACTAATAGAGGCTAGCCTTAATAAGCTTTCCGACATGGTGATAGGAGTGGGATATCCGACTCCTAGGTCTAATAAGCTATCCGACATGGCGATAGGACAAGCTGGGGATGTCACGAATTCGCGCAACAGTTTCTATTCACGAGAGATCTTGTTTTTGAACGATGGAAATTCAAAAATCTGTGAGAAAAATTTGTATCTGCACTGGAAAAACCCAAAAGATGAAAAGTTGCTCGAAGGATTTATTCAGTAGTTGCTCGAAGGATGAGTGACCGGAACACGTAGCAGGCGAATAACTTTGGAAATGCGAATTACTTATTGATCGAAATCATGGACGCTTAGAACGAACAGTTATTTATATACGAATTTTTGTTTGGGTTTGGTTTCTATAGATATGGCAATTCATTTCTAATTCCGTGGGCGAATCAAAATCTCCGCTGTTCGAGGATTAACGAAAAGTATTGAGAAAAACGATGAACCAGTTAATGTATGTAGAATTGTCCTTATCAGTTGTTACTAGATGAACATGTTAACGAGAAGATCTGAGATTTTGAACACTGAAGCGTGAAAATGAAGTGATGCGCATTTTCTATGGAGACTCTGGAATACCTTAAAGCAAGAAGCGGGAAAGTTTCTTAAAGTGTGGTAGTGTGACATTTAGTACAAATGTCAGGAATTTGAACTTTGAATAAATGCTGAAGGCGTATAGTTGAACTGTGATGAATTAGATAAATTGTCATACGATTAAGGTTTGTTCTATTTGTTCGCTTATTTTGAGGTTACTGTATAACGACACAAAATCATACCTCCAACATCAAGAACAGTTGGCTGGTTTTGCAATAGGTTTATAGAACTAATAATTATGTTTTTGTCATCTTAACACCAAGGGGACCCCAGCACGAGCCTAATATGCATCTGAAGAGATTAAAGTCTAAGTGAGATATTTCTAATAGAGGTTAGCCTTAATAAACTTCTTTACGGTAAAGCATCAGAAGGAAGCAAATCGATATTCAATTACTCCGAGGAAACAAAAAGACTTACTCCAAGGACGACAGAAACCAACATTTGTCCATCCCCACATCAACAACGATGTAGAAAGGTGGACCAGCAATTTCGCAAAAAAAGTAAAGAGCGAGCACCTTTCCTTTCCAAAGCTCATCAAAAAGTTCAACGACGAAAAAAGCCAAAACTTTGCTAGACAAAATTGCGCAGGACCAAGTAGGCGCCCCGAAAAAAAATTATTACACAAACTCGACAAAATTTTACTCAATATGAGTAGGTCATATCAAACCAACGATATAACTGGAGAGGATTTAATTTTGATAATCAATTTAAAAATTACATTTATTTTAGTTTTTAAATTTATTCAGCATTACCAAGCATTGAAAATTTTCTTGGAATCAACAAAATTCATGCAAAGCGATGGTTCAAAAAACTGCTAATAACTGATAAATGACAGATAATTCTCTGGCCGAAACTTGCTTGCAAAACTACAATCTTTAATTAAATTGCTGAGCACACTGAGAAATTCGAAAAGTCAACTGGATTTTAATGTTTTGAAATGGCAGTTTTACTTCCTGATTACGCGTAAAACTCTTCCTCAATTAAAAAACCAAATCTCGCGACCAATTTTGAACAGGGATAACAGGCTACTACGCGCAGGGTCAAATATTTCGACCTAAGTTATTTTTTTAAAAAAATTAAAAAACGACGGTATCATACTAGGACAACGATGGAAAACCTTAATTTGACCAAATTTACCAATGATGTAAAATTCAACAGTCAGTAATATTGTATTCAAGACAGCATCATACGGGAAAAACCTCAATTTTGCCCACAAAACAATCCTCAAACATCTCAACACAATCACGGAATCTGTATTCTTATGAAGAAATTCATACAGCCTCAAACCCTAATCGACTTACGAAACCTTAGTAGCTAACTAAGCAACCAAGATTGACACATTCGATTTTACGGTTCATTAATCTGGCAATCAACTGTTTATTAACTTTCTAGCTGAAACTATTGAAAAAAAACTAAGCCGAAGCACATCGACAAAGCTTAACTATCAAGAAACAAACTGTCAAGAAAACAACATAATAATCCACCAAATCTATGCCAATAGAATACAAGAAACATCTACCCATGCTATAATCCACATAATTCCACTAGTTGCAAGAAAGCTGACTTTTACCTCGTAGAAACGCTGAATGAAATTCTAAATTCTACGAAAACCAGGATAATCATAAACCTGATATATGTTCCGATATGCTACTCAACTCGCATGCGAGTAAGTATTCAATAAAAACAGAAAATGGTGCTTTCATCTCGAAAACAATCACAAGACGATCAAATTAATTAGAAAAAGTTCATCAGAATCGACTATTAAAAAACGGAAAATCATTGCAAACCAGTAAAAGCAATAGATGGACAACCTTAATTGGCGCAAATATGCAAATAAAGTCAACAAGCTAGCGTACATGGAAAAAAAAGAGCCGTTACCGAACAAGTTGAAAAATCGGATGATAATTTGGCATTTAAAGATATGCTTTTTGCTCCGGCAGAAAAAACAAACTTAATGCGCAACCTTTCAATGAAAAAAAATCAGATCACACCATACAGGGGCGGGTCAAAGATTTAAAAAGAGCCGACATTTTTAGGTCGACCAAAAAGAATAAAAATTAGTATTTACAGGTGCCTAACCCGACTTCAGAAAAATTTAAAGGACTGTTAGCCAAACAAGGATGTCTTAAAATAGTAACAAAGGGGGGGACCCC